CAAACTCAAACCAAAATCAGAAGAACACATATTTGTGGGCTTTTTAGACGGGCCAAAGGCAATCAAGTACTATGACAAAAACACACACCGAATAAAAGTATCCCGAAACTATCATTTCTTCACACCTAATGTACAGTGTGAGGGGGAGAAGGATAGAGTAAAAGACCCGCTGCACATTAATGCAGCATCCACAATGAAAGATGTAGACAATCTAACGTCAAAGAAAGAAATTAGCAGAAAAAGAAAGAGAGAAAATGACGTACCTGATGAGCTGAGAAGAAGCAGCAGACAAAAAGTCAAACATGATTATCAGATATTAAACAATCCGACAATAGAGCTAGAAGATATACCAGCTGAATTAGCAGCCCTCACAGAAGAAGATCAAGATGAGGAAGAGCTGATATACTCACCAGCAGAAGTTGTGTATGCTGCATTTAAAGAGACTGGTGTTGCACCAGAAGATCCCAAGTCCTTAAAAGAAGCAAAGGAATATTCCGAGTGGCCAGAATGGGAGAAAGCTGTTCATGCCGAACTAGACCAACTAAAAGACAAAGGCATGTGGAAACTTGTCAATCCCCCAAAGGGACGAGTTCCAGTAGCCAACAAGTGGGTTCTAGTACAAAAATTTGACAAAGAAGGAAGATTAGTCAAATATAAGGCACGACTCGTAGCAAAAGGATACTCTCAAATTCCTGGTATGGATTACACGGACACATTTTCTCCGGTGGTCCAACTCGAGACAATATGAGCAGTTTTAGGACTAGCCATATCTCAGAACTGGGAGATTCAACAAATGGATGTAAAGGGTGCTTACCTCAATGGAATCCTTAAGGAAGAAGTGTACATGAAACAGCCTGAAGGGTTCAAAGATGAAACCGAAAGGCTGTGCCATCTAATAAAGACACTATATGGGTTAAAACAGTCAGGACGCGATGTAGGACTTGGAGTCCTTGTAGCCTCATAGAGGCTATTTTTGCAGTGTCCCTTAGGTCCTAGTGCAGTGCACGCTATCACTACCACGGCATGCATCCTTCCTATTGTCGTCCGACGGCCGTGGCTCACACGCGCGCTTTGGTTCACATCCGCTATTTGTCGGTTCTGTCACGCATCCTTCCTCCGTCCTATCCATGTCCTCTGCTTGTCCATTGGTGCGTGTTTTATCTCATTCGCGTTAGACTGATTATATTTCCGAGAGTGATATCACTTATGTTTCGTTACTTGCATTATGGACCCTTGATATGTATCACTGCTATCTTCTCAGTTCCAAACAGCGCTACGCACATTATCATATATACTTAGGACTTATGATTTTTCATGTATCTTTTTTTCCCCACTATCGAAATTATCATCCATTTGCACGCAACACTCTGACTCTAAAGCTAAAACCTTTGGCCAACTACATCACATGCTGTATCAACAGTCACGCTAAATGTTCTAACTTTGCTCATCGCGCATATCATCAGACTCTTCTCCCGCTCTATCATGGCGTCGCATCCCCTTCGCATATCCGCTAAAGGCACGCTCATATATTCTTCGGCTTTTCTCCGCACCTTCGCGCTCCGTCAAACTTTTGGCTACTCAGTCACGTATCATATCGCACCTTCAGGGGTTCACTTGCGCTCGCATCGCATCAGCGCAACATCGTGCACTTCTTCCATTCTCAGTTACCCTTACTAGTTTCTAAGTTTCCCCTCCATATTTTACTTAGAGGAATTGTTCTCAGTAGCAATCCCCTTGGGCCGACTCTATACTCACATCCAAAGGTCTATTTGAGTTTTACCCCACTTCACCCTTTCTCCCCCTTTCACCCCTTCTCATCTAGCTATCATTCCTCACACACAGCAAATGGAATACCGTGTTAAATAAGCAGCTCGAGGCAAAAGACTTCAAGCCGCTATACTCAGATCCATGCGCATACATTCGCAAAATGAAAGGGGGAACCGAGATCATAACTGTATGGGTGGACAACTTACTAATATTCATGAGCGACAAAAATTAATGGACAAACTGAAGCGAGAGCTTCAGAACATGTTCGAAACCACTGATCTAGGGGAGCCGCACAAAATAGTCAGGATAGAGATCACGAGAGACCGTGAAGACGGCACACTCATGATTTCTCAGACCAAATATATCAAGTCAATCCTGGCAAAACACGGACTTCTAGATGCAAACTCAGTGGGAATGCTGCTCGATCCATCTATGAAACTTGAACCCACCATTAAATCAGCCGACAAAGGAGACCAACGTAATAATTATGCTTTGCTCATAGGGTCACTGATGTATGCAGCTGTTGTGACAAGACCGGACATTGCATATGCAGTGTACAGGCTCGTGTCGTATATGGCTAATCCTGACATGACACACTGGACTGTGGCGAAATGGATTTTGTGTTATCTCAAAGGGACAAAGGACCTAGGTATAACTTACAAGGCCAATGTCCCAAGAGATGACAAAGAACATTTCGTCGGATATTCTGATGCAAGCTTCGCCAATAATGATGATAAAACATCAGTTTTGGGATATGTCTTCTTGTCGAGTGGAGGTGCTATAACATGGGGATCCAAGAAGCAAAACACTGTGTCACTCTCCACGACAGAAGCAGAGTACATTTGCCTTTCAGATGCGGCGAGAGAGGCAACATGGCTCCGAAACTTGTATAAAGAACTGGGGTATGAGCAAAACAGTCCCACATTGATCTATGGGGACAATATAAGCGCATTAGCTATTGCTCAGAATCCGCAGTATCACAAATGGACGAAGCATTTCGACATAAAGCATCACTATATTCGGAGCTAAGTACACAAGAAACGAATCAGTGTAGTCTACAAGCCCACGGCACAAATGACGGCCAATATTTTCCACCAAAGCACTACCTAAACCCAGCCATGAGAGACATAGAACTCAACTGGGTATGTTATCCTCAGTCTGAGGGGGAGTGTTGAGGTATACGAGCTGTCTGTGTACCATCCTGAGGACATGTCAGCTAAAGACTAGCGGAGAGGAAAGTTGGAGCTTAAGTAATGTGGCAGGTAGTTCAAGTATATATATAACTGCCAGAGTGTTCTGAAAAAATAAGACCGCTCTGAACACCCTATCTGTGTAACACTCATAATCCTGAAACATGCCATGTCTGATGATGAACCTGCACCAGCTGAGTGACTCAGAGTGAGTGCCTGATGCAGGTATGTGGGCAGAGCCATGGAGGAGAGCATTTAGCAAGAATGTGTGTTGATGCACATATTTTCTGAACTCTTCGGAAGACCAATGTCCTGCTGCTTGAATCAGGTCTGGAGTCATTCCTGCGATAGCTAGAGCAGTCACTCCACCAGCCCTCATTGAGTGACTTGACATACAAGAGCCACAGTGTTCCTTCAGCCATCGCAAGAACCAACCACGAGTTGGCACTGATCCTGTGCTTGTCAACCACAGTGCAGGGCAAAATGGAAAGGCACTATCCCAGAACACAATGTAACATTTGAGCACCGGAAGTGGGTCATGCACAGCCAATGAATTCACTAGGATGAGGATGGTCATTTCAATCCCCAGAGTATCGTTTTTCTGGTAGGGCAGGATGTAAGATAAGGAGGTTGTGGTCATGACAAGTGTGTGCCACATAGGCACTTTATGATATGACTGATGCTGGACAGCATCAGGCCATGTTAACTCCCCAAGCCATTGCAGGGTCAGAAAACCTGTAAAGAGCAGTGTGAGGAAAAGACTGTCATTGTACACTGGAGTTGAGCCCAAAGTAGTTCGTACCCGCTCTAAGTCATCCATACACAAAGGCAAGTTTCTCTGCACAAGGCTGGTCATTTGTCATTTGCAGCCATGCAATGTCCATGCCACTATTGATGAACATTATGCTGTGCGAACATTAGGATAAGTTTCCTCCAGCTGACTTGCAATGCCTGATAGGTAGGAGTCCACAGAATGAGGCTTGATATGATGTGACAGCCAAATGATGTAGAAGGATAGTGTATCGACTGTGGGGTTGATAGGAAGATGATGTAGCCAACAGAAGGTGATGTATGAATTAAGGTGTGAATCATAGACTGAAGCTGTGGTTGCCTCAATTGTGAAGCCAAGGGCAACCGAGCGCTCATACAAGAGACGCTCATGCATCCAGGCCTCCCTTATGGGTTGCCTAGATGATGTGGACACCTGCATCATTTTTTCGCAGCCCTCAGTGCATTACGAGGGGGTTCAAAGTTGAAAAAGCTGGCAGCTGGTGCCAACGTTAGTACACGTTCATTCTGGAAGCGTGAAAGTGCATCCGCCACTCTGTTATTATACCCAGGCATGAATTCCACCTGCAAGTCCACCCCATATTGCAGAAGAACATTGACAGCTGCGATCAGGATGGGGTTATAGGGTGGATGAGCACGAAGTGAGTTGAACATTGCCATTGTGTTGCTGTTATCAGTGTAAATGAGCATTTTAGAGGGAATTTCCATTATGTTAGGGATGAAGTGAATGGCCAAGCAGGCAGCAAGAGCCTCAAAGAAGTAGATAGTGTCCTTTGGAGGATCTGCGGGTAGTTGGAATTGTCCCATGAAGTTTTCATGGGGGAACCACAGGCCCAACCTGAGACTGGATGTGTCAGTATAAGCTACCACCACGTTATCCACAAGAGGGTCAAAATCCAGTGATTTATAGAAAAATAGACCATTCAAGCGATCCATATGGTCTGCCATCCAGGTCAGTTCCGCGATTATATCATTGTTCACGTAAAGCTGCGCTAGAGGCAGCTTCTTCCCCCAAATCTTTTTGTACACGGCCGACAATCCAGGCTTCAACAAAGGAAAGATATTGAAGCTCCACTCACACCACCCTGCAAGCTGCTGATACTCTTGCAGCATCCATTGGAAGTTCCTACATTTGAAGCAGCATAGGTGTTGAATCAATTCATCCTTCTTGTGAGCCAGCAGAGTTGCTGTCATAGTGGTAGGGTCCACATCAAACCCAATAACCATCAGAGGCGACCCAAATAATTGTTTCGGTCAATCGTGAGGCACACCAATCTCATCCCATAATTGCAGTAGATGAGTCTGCTTTTCTGGGAAGTGACATTGATAAGGCTCATAATAGAGCGTCCACCCAGCCACCTCGAAGGAGAAAGAGTTGTCCATATAAAGCTTAAGGGCTTTGATAAGGGTGTGGTGAATGGCAATCCATGCCATGAGGGACATGAATGATATCCAGACCTTTGGTGAGCCGCGCCCACCAAAGTTGTTGCAATGATTGATGTGCCATTGACCACGAAATGTTAGCACCTGCTTGGCTTGCCACAGCTGGTGCATAGGTAGTCTGCAAAAGGCTTGGGACACGTCAGACTTGAAGAGAAGCAGTTTTTCATCTGGATGGTCCTTTCTAAACTCCAGTAGGGAAGCACCAAGTGAGTGCAAGCCATCTAGTTTTGTGCCTTTAATGGCATCCACGTCAATCATAGAGTTAAGTGAGTACTCCCCGGCTGTATGATCAACGACCAGATGCAACTTGTCTGAATTTGGTTTTGGGACTGTATGCATCAGCACGCTATACATCCCAGGTAACAATTCAGATCTGAAGCTTTCAGAGACTCGACCCAGCCGTATTTCTTCACCAAGTTGATCCTCAATAAACTTCTGCTGTTCTTCAGACTTTGCGCAGGTTCACATTGAGTTGTTGTTGATTGATGAATAGTTTCCATCAGAGGCATCTGCCCATGGCCAAAAGCCTTTGTGCAAGGCATGACACATGGACCAAACATAAGGTTGATTTGGATGATTCACCAGGAGGTCCTGGAAATGATCCACTTTAATTGGTGTCACTATCCGAAAGAGTTCTAGGTGATTGGCAATGGTATGGGTCACATCAGTATCTGTAAGACAAACCAGTGCTGAAGGGACTGGGTCTGCATACTCAGTTGACTGTGCTGTTGGACTGAAGGATGCATCCATTGAAGACAAAATCAGGCCTCGACAATAGTGTGGGCGCGCAATGGATTGTTCAGGCTGACTTGGCTTTGCTATCTTCGGTATGTTTGGCTCTGACATGACGGCGGCCACACATCTGACATCCGACCATCTTGTTTGACATTGCAGATGTGTGCATAGCAGCAAGTGAACATACTGCGTGTGCACTCTCCGTTATTCCATTTGCAGCAGGGATCCCGCTTAGCTGAAGATTCCTGTCCTCCTTCTGAGGACTTAGTGGATTCTCCTGAGTCCATGAGGAGTCAGCCACCAGCGGAGAAGTGGGAGGCATAAAGGTCTCTGAAACATTCAAAATCAGACAGCTCATACCTGTGAGTGTTACTGACTCTGAACCTGATGGCTCTGTCATACCAGAGGACATGGCCATGGTAAGTTTTGAGCTGCTGGTTAAATTGCTCATTGATGTGTTCCGAGTAGGCATCGAGCTCAGCCTGTTGGAAAGGGAATGCAAACTTGTAGGCTTGTGCAGCTCTGTTCTATGCTGCATTCCAATGATTTTATTTGGTGATCTTCTTCGTCGCCATCTCTGAGATGCTGTCAGTGAACTCAGCATCTCTGATGACTTCCATATACTTTTTGACAGCATGCAATGTTGTAATGATGGTGTGGATAGCATCGAGGTTGAGACTTTGTCTAGCGACAATGTCAGCCCACTGGACTCATGGAATTCTGGGCTTCATTTGTAGTACATAAGCTTGAGTTTTGCTTGTTTCTGGTCCTTCAACCAATTCTGGAGGATGCGAATGGTGTGTCTGAGATTAGTGGATAAGGGCTTGAACAGGTTCTCGTGGACAGTTGATTTAAGGTCAAGGCAGGTGAAATTGGGCTTAGCCCACTTTTGAGCAGGTTCTTCTGGATCAATGCTGGCTTGTTGACTTCTGACAGCCTTTGGATGAGTTTCTCCTTTGTTACATGCTGGTTCAATTGATTGCTGTTCTCCAGCAGTTCCAGATGCTCTGTGGTAGGCACTATTCTGTTCTGACTCCCATTCATCAAGCATGGCGAGGTAGATAGCCGCAACTGTAGAGGGATTTTTGCCTGAGCCCAGTGGTAAGCTTTCTTTGACAATGGAGGAGATGACGTAGGCTGCATCAAATTTTGAACCCTTTGCGGCCCTAAAGTCTTTGACAACGTCAAGGCATCTCTTTGCCATGTTGTGTTGGGGTAAATATACTTCATCAGAGTCAGTTTCAACTGAAGCCCCTCATATTCTAGGTCCCCTAAGTGATGGTTGCATTTGGGATGTATTGGCGACATTAGTGTTGCTTGGGCCTCTAGGATCTGACATATGTTGGAAGTATGACTGAATTTGAGTTTTGAAAATTCAACTTTTCACGAAAATTGGATGGTGCTTTAGGGGATGAGTATGCAACATGCTGAAAAGATCACATCAGTTAGATACTTTATATCCAGGCAAAAGGGGCCTCTAAGAATGATGCTGAGTCATATATTGACCAGCGTCACGAATCGATTCAACTTGGTTAAACAAGTTTAACCCTGATGTAAGGATGGAGCGATTTCCAATATGGTGTCAACACCATGTATGCGCTCCACTTGAGCCCCTTTGGGGCTCCACCATGATTGAACACTCCAGATATTCTGACATATGTTAGATGAGTCTGCTCTCATTTGATTTAATCTGTGTCATGGTCATCCATGCTCCTGCACTCCAGTGTTGATGTTCGATGCCCATAGACCTCATCTGTCATGTCTCTAGCATCAACGATGCTGTTGACTTCCTTTCAAACAGCATAGTATGAAATGTGCAAGTGTGAGTCCAATGTCACTCTCCTGTGAGGAATCTGAACCTTGACGAATCTGCGATGAAGAGTGCTGATGTCGATCAGACTTTTGAGAGCATGATGTCGCTGAGACACTTAAAGCGCTGTTTGCAACAGAGAATGAAGAGGGAAAGACAACAGAGAACATAGTGTACAGGCCCATCTCTTACAATAGAAAACATCCAAAGGTGAACGGACCACCTATTTGTATGTCATTTAATAGGGTATGACCCCCTCTGAGGCTCACACATGCACATGTGATTCAACCACCTTAGATAATCCGACATTCTCCACAATGTTGATTACTATTCATCTGCAAACCCACTGAAATGAACACTTAACTTACATCAGGAAAACCCTCTCATGCAAACTTAGAGAAAATTCTATATATTAGTCAAAATTATACAAGTTAGAAGTGCTAAGAAGACTAGCAGGACTTTATTGCTGATTTCAGTTAGCAATAGCCTGTCACACATCAGCAAAAATGTGAAGTGCAACATAGTGCTATAGGGGATACATGTCACTTATTGCTGAGTTGCAACTCCTCCCCCCCCTTAGTGTAGTGCTATATATTATTGGTGACTAGCTTAATTACATGATATTGTACATTGTATCTTATAGATAAATAATGGAGTGCTACTATGTAGTGTCTCATAATTCACATAGTTTAGGGCAATGGGCTCAATAACCAATATCATTATGGGATAGACTGCACACGAGCCAAGCTACTGATCATGCTGCATCATCTCCTCTTTATGTTGGTCATCAACCATTTCCACCACTACCCTCCTGGAATTCCTGGATAGTGTCCCTAATTTCATCATTGAACAGGCAGTCACCATTTACAACATCGACCGGGTCTACTTTGGCATTCAAGCTGCAGTGTCCAAGTCAAAATTACATACCAACATGAGTGATAAGACTTACCAGCTGTTATCATTGATATCCTTCTAGATTGCATCCAGAATTCTGTGATCCTTTGTAAGCATCTGGAACTTTTTTAGATTTGTAAGGTGTTTATCATATACTTCCTTGTATTCATCACTGGAAAACCCAACATTGATTTGTTCTCCATCAGCCCACTCATCAACACAGCACTCAGCCTGTAATCAATGCCATCAAGCATCACCATCAGCTGTGTACAAGAGAGCCATTATAGCGATGGGAAAAGGAGTAAAATACTTCTCAAACACAATGCCCTCGTCCTTTTTGTTGCGGTACCAAACTATGTTAGCAGCCTTCTGGGTCAACTTGGTCCAAAAGAGGCCACTGTGAGGCATATCATTCTTTTTATCTCTGGGGTTCTTTAACAAACATAGGGTGAACACTAACATAAACATTAAACCTTGGCTATGAACTTAAATAGTAACACAAGCTGAACTTGTGCTTAAGCTGTTGTACGAGCCGGCAATTTTTGGACTTAACTGACACCCTTGTGCTCAATTTGAAACCATAGACACTCTCAATGAGTGGTCACACCTTCACTTTCACCTCACTAGTTAGGTGTGAAGTGCGACATGTTATCTTCACAACATATTAGCCATGTTTTCTATGATTTATGCTGCATACACCATTTGTATGATCTCATTGTTGAAAGTCATATTGATCTTGTGGTGTTTGCATGCCTCCTTTTATGCCTCTTTTGCTGTGACTTGAGTGACATGATCTGGATAAGCATAGTCAGAAGCAAGCCAACAGCAGAAGTCACCAATCACAAATTTGATAAGTTGCTGCACAGTGTTCTTGTAGTCTCATGCAGCCATCAATCCTTGCTTTTGTGAACCTTGCATGAAAGGTGCTGATTGTCTTGCTGTATCAATGGTGGATCATTGCAGATACATTTGTGATGGTGCATGACATCAGACTTGGAGTCATCATCTGAGTTAGACATGTAAGAGTGTTTGTGAGAATCTTCAAGAAAATTTAGTAGCAATTAAAACAATATTCTTAAACATATACTTATCAATCAGATCACCACTGTCCTCCCTCTGAAACCCATTATGGTCCAAGTCAAACTCTTCATCACTAGGACCAGCGAAGACATCAGTATCCTCATGGCCACGAACCACTGAGCTTTCATCATCATGATTATCTTATCCATCTTCAGTTGGATCGCTGTTGTTGTTCCTTTCTGAGTAGTATATCTAGGCAAGCTTTGCAGTATTTAGTGTGTAGGAACTGTGCCAGCTATATTTAGGACTTCACACTTGAGAATACTGTAGAGATACACACTTAGCTTCATCACAGCATCACACATCTGACAAATCAAAGCTATTTTGTGTGACCATCACACAAAATTGAAGTTATCAAAGGTAAATTGTGACACACAGTAAAACATGAAAAAAAATACAAAAATGTTCCCAAAATTTCTTGTACTAAGTATTTGCCATGCATCTCCCTTTAAATCACCAAAATTTTCTTCATCACCATCAGCTGATAGTGGTGCTGTTTGAGGCTATTTTTGACATGTCACAGGTCACACCCATCTTCGAATGTTCGAAGCTAAGGTTCAGTTGGTCACACCCAGATGATGTTAAAGCTAAGTGTGTATCTCTACAGTACTTGAAAAAACATAATTTGATTATAAAAGGGTATATGTGTTGCATCTATTATACTGGTAAGGATGGACTTGTAGCAGAATAGTACTCCCCCAACAAAGTAACACAAACAGTGACTCACAAGATGATTGAACTCATTGAGTATAGTACCCTGAACAAGTAAACAAACCACATCTTAGAGCCAAATTTTGATGGTGATAAAAAAAACACTTACCAGATGTTTTGAATATTGCAGGGGAGTGCGAGGATGAAATTATATACTATTGGGCCATGGTCAATGTAAGAATAATAATACTACAAAAGAGTCAACTTACTACTGCGTAGCACATGAAAAGACATGTCAGCATAATAAATGAAAGAAAACAAACATAACATACCACCAGACACAGAGAAGTGTAGATCTGTTGTCCAAAGCTATTGTCAAAAATATAAAATATAAAATGTCAGCATAACAGCAGAAAGAAAACAAACATAACATACAACTTGCAAGTATGGAGAAGTGTAGGTCCATAGAGTCCCAACTAGCAGTAGCCCACCCCACTATATACAGAGGGCAAGCAAAGATATAACCTATAGAGACCACCTATGGGTAGTAGAGTAGCAGCATGAAGTGGGTGAAAATTAACAACATTTGACTTTGAATTTGAGTGTCAGTCTTTGAAATTTGCAGAATATTTCAATCTTGGAATATCTGGGACATCCAAGACATCTGACTCATGGCTGACTTAGCATCACGTGTAGTTTCCATGTACCTGATACAACAGCAACATGTACACAATGACCAAAATAGGTAAGTATGTTTGTGCACTCACTGCATGCATTGCTAAAATATTCATGCTCACTATTGCACACAGTGAGCTCAATTATTTTTATCATTTTCACACATTTTTTTGTAATTCTTTCACTGTATTATGTCATATGTCATTAAATATTAAATATTAAACATTTCGTATTTTTAGACCTCCTAAGTGCACATAATTGAATGAATACTATAATGGGGTCCTTCACCTCATCCCTTGGGCCTCAAACCATTCTAAAAAGGCTCATAAGAGTCAACAGTGTACCAGGAGAGAATTCTATATGCAAGTGCTAGCTTGGTACTAGTAGCAGCCATGCTAGTCATGGTGTTAGCAGCAACACATGCAGGGGCACTGTGGGTCACATTGTAAGACTGGAAGTCCTTACAGCCTTATAGAGGCTATTTTTGCAGTATCCCTCAGCACCCTATTACTTTCCTACATGAAGCGCAGCTTTTCTGTGAGCCACGCATAGCAGCTGCTACTTTCACGCGATGGCCGCAGTGTTCCCGTGCGCGCACATAGCTGCGCTTAGCCGCGCTTAGCCATGCTTTCTTGCACTTCATCGGCCGACATTTTGCATCCATCCCTAGTCCAAAACTAACCCATTGGTGAGTTATTCCATGATTATATTTACATATCAGACCATTTCCGCATCGCACCACCTTTATTTACATATAGCTTTACATACATAGCTCAGTAGTGCGTTGGCTCAGTTCCACATGACAGTGCTTAGTGCAATACCTAAGTACTAGCAGTACATACATATCATTCAGTAGCTTGTTTTCCGGATGTTCCAGTAGCAACTCCCATTAGCCTACAGTTGGTAGCTATTGGCAATCAGTATCCATTTACTGCTCACATCATATCCGTTATCGCAGCTTATAGCACCACTCTGAGTTATAAACCTACAATGTGGTATGTTGTAACTGTAAGATTTGCATTATACATGCAAGTGGGTCAGATGGGCTGGATATTCCAGGATCAAGATGTCCTCAAAATTTGAGACTCAAACTGAAAGTCATGTGAGTATAATAAACAAACATGCACAAATGTTGGACTTTACAAATATTGTCTCATATTTTTGGCTTAGAAACAGCCAACACAAGTCTTTGGTAAGTGGTCTTATATGAAAGGTACTGGTTCCTGAAGCTAAGGCCTGACACTGAAAGGAACCAGCACCAGATGCCCAGTTTAGCGAAAGCTTCTTCTCCCTCCTATTTTTTCTTTCTCACTGTGTCATATGAACTGCTTACTTGTTTGATTTTTGCAGTATCTAACTTATTTGCCTCTCCTAATAGTCTGACTTTAGCTATTTGATTGTCATTATTGTGATAGATGAAGCTGGAGTGCTAAAGGCCACAAGAATTGAAGTCTTAGAAGGTCAGCACAGTTGGGACTTAGTTTTGTGACACTGTGCTAGTTGCCAATACTAATTGTCATTAGCTTATACTAGACTATCATTCTCAGAGCTATTTTTCACAACTATTGAAATTTTTACTAAAAAGTCTAATTATAACAAGTTTGTCTAAGTTTAGTTGGGAGGGTTTTCCTGATGTATGCATGTTACAGACACTTATGAACACTTACAACCTTGCTAGTGAACTCATACAATTGGTGGAGATGCCTAAATACTAATATTACTCATCACATCTAGCTGATAAGGTATAAGCTAAGTTATCTTTTGTGGATAAGATGCAATAGGCTCAGTGATATAATATAATATACTTGATGAGAATAATCAATACAATTGATCCTGCTAGTAATAGAACAATTAGCACATCCACTATAGACAGGAATTAGTTCAATTGCATGGGTAATGTTGATGAAAGGTAAAATCATACTAGCCCCCACTTGTGTGCCATCAGGACCAGTTACAAACTGGTGCTTGACATGGTTCATGAAGACAGCAGGATCATTATGGGATTGCACGACAATTTTGAAAGGCTGCACATAAATGAAGGAATAAACAAGTATAAGAGGTAGCCCTGTGCCTCTTGTTGACAATAAAAAAACTATCCAAACTTGAGCAATGATATGATCTAGCAGAGCAGAGCATGAGTATGACAATAAGAATTAGTAGATAATGAAAACTCACCATCATTCTGTGTTCACAATAGCACAACATCACAGTTTCTGAGATGGTGAGTATCAGATGGTGGGTGTGCCTGCATTTGCTAACTTGGCATCACAAGTAGTATGTACAGTGATAAGCATAGCCAGAAACAGAACTTAAACCAGACCTTGAGCAAGTAGTTCTGGAAGTGGGACTCAACTCCATCAATATGCTTGATAAGAGAGCAAAACTGCTGACAAAAATCTGGAAATCCATAGTATCACATCAAAAAACAGGTGTCTTATTAGTAAAGTCACTAGAGACAGTGATATAAAAAGCTATGACACTATCATGAGATAGGAGGCCCTTAAGGAAGTGGTTATGAACTGGCTGAGGGCCTTTAAAATGATATAGATCTTCAGGAGCAACAGGTGCGATTCAAGCAAATGCTGGGTCCATGTCAACAACTTTATCATATTCATTGATAATCAGATTATTGAGGGATGAGTTGTTTGAGTAGAGGAAAACATTAAGGTTGAATTGACGTACCATGTCTTTTCGATCCAAAAGATGGATGATCTGCTGTGTGAAATTTGCATGCTAGTGACTGGTGTGCTCAAAGGGAGTTTTGCAGTAAGTGATCAGCATATGTTTACTAACATTAGCTGTGTATTAAAATATAATGCCCATGTCAGGAATTGCTTGACTGAATAAGGTAAGGAGCTCAAGCTTTGGTATTTGAAAGTAATTAATAGGACCTAAAGCTCCTCTGCAACCCTCAGTAAGGATGATTAAGCCTTTAAAATAATGGAACTCTTTGAGTGAGGCCTTCATAGTAGTGATGGATATTAGGGTAAATGTGAGGGACTGCACCTGATAGATGAAATCAATCAGTGCATGGACTACATGGACAAAATTAGCATCAACAATGCCTGCAATAGTAAGGATAATTGTGCATTGAATCTCCCAATGTTCCTGACCAATTATCTGCATAACATGTGTGATACCTTGGCTAAAATGGCGAGTTCTAATGTATTTGTATTGACTGCAAAAGTAGATATCAAGTTCATTAGCCCTGATAGCCTCCTTGTACTACTTGAAGATGTGATTGAAAAAAACTTTGTGCAGAGTATGAAGAATCTCAGGTGTAAGAAAAATTGCTTGGTTAGAAAAGTGTTAGTCATGCCAGAAGAGGAGCTGGACTCCACTCAGTAAAAGTGCCTTGGCTTTCTCTTGAAAGTGCTAGACCTTCCAAGGATCCACATGTTGGCAAAGTTGGTGAAGGGCTTTGATTGTTAGATGGCCAGAATAAGGCAGATACAACTTTCCATCCCCAAAATGTGACTGTATGGCCAAAGTCATAGGTGATATGTTCTTGTTTAGACATGTAATTAGCTATTGCTTAGGAAGGTTAGCTGTGTATGTGACAAGGTGAATAAATGTATAATACAAGTTGCCAACTGGGTTTACCATTTGAGTACCTGTCACAGCTGCAGATTTGACATTCACAAAGACAATATCCATATACTGATGCTAAACATGGGCTTACAAGAGCAAGACAAAGTCTGAGTGACAAACAAATTGGGAAATGAGCATATATACTATGCATGACCAAGTATGTATGCTAGCTTTCATACAGATATCAGATCAAATATTAGTGATGGTTAGGAATATTAGGTGTATCTCAAGTCTGCCCATTTGTTGAGTCACCGGTATTTTGTCAGAAGCAAGAACTATAGGCATGATAGTGGCATCCTAGGGAAGCTGGTCCTAAGAATGAAAGAACTGAATTATTAGAATTAAACTTTAGTAGAGAGAAAAAACAAGCCTGGATCTCATGTGTATGTAAGTTGGACATTCATTCACTATATTTTTGTTCTTCATTGTTATAAATCTCATATGGGTCAAACTTCATATTTTTGGTAAATGCTAGGTTACCAAAAATGTGGTGCATCACCTTCAAGGCATCATGCCAGATGAGGTATACAGAATGGATAGTAATATAGCCTTCAGTCTGAATTATCATACAATGCCACTTAGGTCCCTTTAGCAAAGCATCTATAAAAGTGAACAGTTACAAGGCTGATTTGTATGCTGGCGGTTTCTATGCTTCTGACCTCATCTAGCAAGTAATTAGAGCTAATGTTGTACATGATTATTAGGCCACTCACCTACAACAACTTTAAGAAATGAGTGATTTGTTCCTAGTTAAGATTATTATTCAGAAATTTGGCTAGCTCTCATTCATCTCTGTCTGCAAATAGACAACATACATTATGCTGCCAGTAAGTTTCATATTTGTAATCCTTCATACGCTGAAATGTATTAGGATAATCAAAACCATAGATAGAGCCAGATGCTAGATGATAGCATTCATTATAACACTGACCTGAAGTGGTGGATTGGTAAAATGCAAGCAGCATGGACATGACATAGCAGCTAGATCATTCAACAGGTGAGTGCACAAGTCTTCCACTGACACAAATAATGCTGAGCAGCTGAGACAATGGTATTCACCCTTCCTAAAACATTAGTGTGATCAGATTTTGTGTCATATAACTTGACACTTACTCTCTCTTCTTAAAAGATGTCTCATCAGAGATAAAATCATATGAATCTGGCAGTTTCTCTTCTGTGTTCAAGGTGGATGACACTGATGTGGTTGTTCTACATGTTAGTGATAAGGGTTACTGCTTATACTTATATATTTTGCTAGCAGGTTTTCCAGCAGTTTCAGTGAGTATCTCAGGCTGCTAGTAGTTTTAAAATTTCTTCAAGTTCTTCAAACTCTACACAGGAGTCTGTGTATGGTATAGTATTTATAATAACCAAGATTCCAACTTGAAGGTCAGAAGCTCAACAACCTGAGCTTGCTACTATACTACCATTATGCTGGATCTCATTACTATAAATCCTTCTTCTCTTACTAGTCCAACTAGCTCTGCCACTTATGTTGATAGCTCTCCTAGGCAGAAAGCTGGGTACAAGGTCCAATATCACATAAACTAACCAACCTATACCTTATCAATGGATGAGGCAGAGGATCTCAGACAACACACCATATCACCTGATATAGAGAATAGATTTTGTGTTCCTGCTACTAGCTTCATATTTCATGTATAATTTTAAATATATATTTTGGAACTTGTTGAACTCCACATTTAATAGACCTGCAAGAAATTCTGCAATCAACTGGTCTCAATACTATGGGAGCTTGAGGAATCAAAAAGGTGAATAAAGGTCGTGAGGTGCATGCTTAAGACAGTGCAAAGAGAGCATAGTGCTACTCAGATAGCACTACAAACATGGCTTAAATCTACAGAGAAGAAGCTTGGAGAAATATCAAAGGTGCAAGCATCTAATAACTACGGCAAATAGAAGGAGAGGCTCTATTTTTTCCAGGCAGAGTTCAAGAATCTGGAAGGACTTGCGATCACTTATGGGATGACAGATTTAGACTTGGCCATGATTAATAATGACTGTTGATTGATGATGAATGATGACAACGACTACTCAAAAGACAGTCACTTGGTGATAAGTGATGACAAAGGCTCTTACACTAGTACTAGCCAGCACCAGGATTGATCTGAGTCAGGTGAGTCAGCTTCCTTCTGTGAAAAATCATACTGCTGATTGTTTGTCAATTGCTTCATCAGGAAACATATTATATCTTGTAGATCAATTGTCTATAGCACTGCATTATTTGAAGTTCAATTTAATGTAACTTCTATCATTATCTATCTTGCCATTATGACACCTAGAACCTCCCTTCAAGGAGTATAGAGCACTATGAGTTTCCCTATCCTTATCTATCCTTTGTCCAGCAAATAATCTTGTCTGAAAACAAACCTGCTTTTCCTCTTTTTAGCCCTTATCAGGTCCCTATATCTAGACTTTTCTTAACTTACAATATACCTTTGCCCTCACTCTATCTAAATTAGTAATGCCATAGCTCGGTTCTGGTCTGCTTGGGCTTGGACTTCCCTGGTTTGCCAGTAGTTTGGCTGTCTAATGCAAACTGAGTCACTGGTTCAAATTTAATACAGTCTGCTAGTCACATGAACCATATTAAACCAGCTCCAACCCAAAAAATTAAGAACTGCAGCTTGGGCCAGCTTTAACTAGCTTTAACCAGCTTGAAAATGTGGCTCTCAGGCTCTTACTCTCTCATTTGTTTTTACTGTTGTATTTCTGACACTTTTATATATCATGAACAAGGTCACCATTTGAGTTGATGGTAGACTTAGGCTTGGCAATGTTTTGGGATCTGGCTCATACAGTATGTTATTCACATACCAACTATATTTTCATTCAGATCCAACTTATAGACCCCACCATTTAGCTGTCATGTACCATGCACGAAACATCATTAGAGGTGATATGGTCGCTGTTAAGCTTGAACCTGTTGTCGATAGGACATCTTCTATTCAGAATGAATATCATACTTTGAAACACCTCAAAGGTGGAGTTGGAATTCCCTATGCCATTTGGTTCGGTAGAGAGTCGACATACCATGCTTTAGTTCTCGACCTCCTTAGGCCATCACTACACGCTCTTTTTCTCTCACACAATTGAAAATTCACCCTTCATGCTGTCGTAAACTTAGCAGACCAGCTGGTCAGTCAGTTCATAGTGGGGTTGCTGCAGATAGGCTAACCCATTCACAGTTCTCACGTCTTGAGTATATACATTCACACAATTACAGTGGCTCAAAAAAGTGTCCCAATGTTTATAGCTTTTCATGTAATTGCTATATCATGTGTTGAGACATGGGAATATGACTAAGCTATAGGGAGGTGTTGGAAAGGTCTCATTTACATCTGATCTCTGGTCAAATTCTAAGCTCCGTCCATTTATGGCGGTTACTGCACACTGGATTGCTAGAGAGAAGCATTCATCAGTGCTCGTCCTGAAAGCAGCACTGATTGCTTTTCACCACATCCCTGGCAGTCATACTGGAGTAGCACTAGCAGGTGAGATGATGATGATTCCACATAATTCAGTGAATATTTTCTGTATTACATGGACATCTGAAGTTGAGATACTTCCAAGCGAGACAGGTCATCCGAGGTGGGCCCAAATGGCAAGTAAGTGCTGTTAGAGTTAGTCGGGCCAGTTATGTGGTATATAATACAATTTCAGTATATACTGTAGAGATACAACACTAACTTCAACCACATCCAGCTGTGACCATATTACACTTAGCTTCATAGCTTCAAATGTTGGTGTGACCCATGACTCTACCAAAATAGCTTCAGTCAGGTGTGACGAAGTGTAACATACTATTGTGTTGCTGTCATTGATGGCAGATCTCCTAGTCTGTCGGTACCTCGCTATTGCTGCACATTGTTTCACCTGTAAACTGTCAAGCAACACTGGGTGTGGTCTTAAACGCTGGACCTACTGGAACTGTAAGTCCGCCTTCAATGTCACTCCCAGTCATGCCACAACCTGAAACAGAATTGCAACAGCGCAGTACAAGTTGGGTGCCATAAATGCTGAGGTGGCAGCAGAGGATGATGGTGATGAATCTCCATTTGACAAAACTGACAGTGGTCTTGATGCCAGCGATGTGCCTCTGGACACATTAACTGACTATCTGGCTTCAGAGGAGTTACAAACCTATCCTGGCTGCATGTCAGATGTCACCAATGGCAGTCTTGCCTCTGCAACACAATCCGATGTCTATGATATTGGCGAGGGTGACATTGATGGCAAAGCTGACAGTATTCCAAAGGTAGATTGTGGGCGTGGAAAGCATAGATGGATTGTGAATAGGATGTACACCGACTTTTGGTCTCATTGAGGCACTCTATATGTTTTTTTATTGAATTTACTGCATGTCACAATCTAGCTTCAGTTATGAAAAATCACTGTGACAGTCACATTGAATAGCTTCAATTCACGGCGGCTTGTGACACATGATGAAGTTAGTGTTGTATCTCTACAGTACAGATGGGCCGAATCAGGACTGATAGAATCAAGATCTTGGCAGATACGAATGGGCCCAAGTGCATACAGTGCATGGGATGGTATTGTAATATAAGTAGATGGGCCCTGCAAGGTCAGTACATTTGGGATACACGAGTGGGCCTGGTACATGACATAGGATCAGGATATTGGTAGACACAGCTGGGCCCGATAAGGTCAGTATAAGGTATGACATTAGAATCACGGTAGACACGAGTGGGCCTGGTCATGACATAGGTTCGGGATCTCGGTATACACAGCAGGCCCAGGTAAGTCAATACATTGCATGGGATTGGTATCACTGCTTACATGAATGGGCCCGGATAGGTCAGTACATGACATGGAGTTGGGATGTCAGTAGACACGAGTGGGCCCTGTTATGTTCTAGCACAAATATCTGTATGCAGGGGTATACCGAGATTACGAGCATGGTGGACAGGAAATGGCCTGGTATGTTCTAGAATAACATCAGGGTATATATGTCAGCCCATTCACAAGGGATTGCAGCACCATATAGGTAGATATGAGCAGGCCGAGATATGTCAGTATATGGCACACAATTGGGATGTCAATGGACCTGAGGGGGGCCTGTTGTGTTCTAGCATAAATAATGGTAGATATGGGTGAGCCAATATGTGTGAGTGGGTTGCATGGCATGATGTTCAGAATTTGGTGGATGAATGGGGTCCTGGTTATGTTCCAGTGCAAAATATTGATACAAACCAGCGCAATGCATTACATTGGTATTTCAGTAGGTCATGTTGGCAGTATATCCAGATATATTTTGATACAGCACCTATTCGTGTGATGATACTAGATGCAGCCAAACTCACAGATTGCACATAACCAAGATTCCATATAACACCACAAATCATTATTTCTGCATCTCAAATAACTACCAAAGAATGCACTGGATGATAAGGAAGAGCTGGGATCTCAAGGGTACTCAACTACGAAGTCACAACCAAAGATTTATTGGCCCAATATATTTGGAAGATATCCATGGGCTTCCTTTTGAATGACTCTATTTTAATCTGTCATGACACTGGTCAATGACAGTAAATGTACATGTGAAGTAATGGTTAAGCATACATGTATGTAATATATATAACTACAGAGTACAAATTATTTTGTGGGGGACCCACCAGTCGGGAGACTATATAAGGCAGAGCACCCACTCAAGTTGTTGTGATCAAGGGATCCTTGCCCTATGGAGGCAGAATTATTTTTGGCAGTTGCTGGAGGAGCCACAGACAAATCCCATGCAGTGGTGAGATGTTTGCCAAGTTCTGAGATACTTGGATCCAAAGGTTGAGGAGCTGCAAAAGGAGGGTGAAGCCATGTCCCGGGTATCTGGCCATACGGGTGTCCGTGAACAGATGGCCCTGCAGAGGGGGGTTGAAGGACACTGAATGTTGGGGGATCTTCATGGCCTTTTTTTTTTTTTTTTTGAATCCAATTTATGTCCATTGGGGTAATATACCCTATGTCGGACACTACTAACTAGTCTAAAGGGCCCCTGCCCCTACGATATCTCAAGGCTCGCGAATGCCCCTGCATGAGTGTTACCCCCGCAGGTCCACCGTTCCTGCCAGCTGTTTTAGATGCGCTGCCTTTTAAAGATAAGTGACTGTTCTCTCCGGAGTATGGGTATGTAAGTGTCTGTCTGTCCTAGGTTGTCATCTGAAGCACCTTCATGGCCTTGAGTGTGTTGGCCATGTACCCGATCGATGCAATGTTGCCGCAGGTTTTCATCTCCACATCCTGAACCCTCTCCTCGACACTCTGGATCTTGTCCTCCATGGCAATGAACTTGGTGGCCCAAGTTTATCCAAGGCGGTGAACCTTGAATTTATCTCTTGATGAAGGGCATCGGTGTGATCACCTGAAGTCTTGAACAATGTCTCGAACTTACTGCCAAGAGCATTGATTTAGAGGAGCAGGTCCCAATTTGTTGGCTGTTCCGCATCTTGTGGGATGGGGGTATCAAACCCAATCTGAGGAGTAGGTGGTTCGACACAGTCGAAGTCGACGTCTGCAGGACCGGGTGCCAGTTGTTGCTGATGTTCTACTGGACGACATTAATACAGAAATGCAAAGAAAAAAACACCAGACATACCAATATCCGGATGAGACTCCACGTTGACATGTTTTGTGGGAGATGTTGCGAGTGCAACGGTTGGAAAAATTGGTGTGGCGGTTGCTTGTTCGGGGAAGATCAATACTGACAACAAAAAAGTGAATAATATGCTTACCGAGATCCATATCATTATCACTGTCAGTATCCTCGTCCAACTCCACATGAGGAGTGGGTAGTGTTGGAGATTGCGGCCAGGGCTTTGACATGGAGCATGTCGACCATGTACTCATGGGTGCCTTGGGTCTATCGTTTGACTTGAGCAAAAGAGCTGGAGTGTCAGTCTTCTTCTTTGCCTTCTTTGCCTTCTTTGCCTTCTTCTCTGCAGCTGCAGTTACCTTTGCCTTGTGGGTGGCAACTTCCCCTCGAAGGATAGCACCACATTCAGGACCCGGTAAATGGCATTTGATCTTTCAGCCGTCGCAGTTGCGACATGTCTTCCTCACCTCACCGGATTTCTTGGCAAGGACAATGGTGCAAGGAATGTCGTCCTTGATGCAGTGTTCGCATTGCATGCCGAAGAGGCGGACAGATGATGTCTCTTTGGGAGACACAGCATCCTTGGCATCTGATTCTGAAGACTAGTCACATTAGCACGAGATTATACAGGTTTCAATATAAAACATACCTCAGTTGCAGAAAGCGGGCGGTCTTTTGCTATCAAGGGCTGATTCCTTGGCCCTACTGTTGGTTTTCTCTTAAATGCATGTTAGTTAACATGAGACTGTGAGACAACAACACATACCTTTACAAAAATGACATCCTGAGTTGGGATGTCATCATCATCCCCGACTACGGCCTTCTTCAATTTGGCCAGCGTGGGCTTGATCTTCTTCCTAGGCAGGGTTTTATCAGCCTCGAGTCAAGTCTTGCTCATTGGCTTGGCATTCCAGATGATAATCTTCAGGATGTCATTGTCCTCGGGTTCTGACGTGCTGGCTTTCTGTTTGGTCATACCTTGCACAAAAAGGTCGTGCTTCATCTCAGTGACAGGAGGTGTCACAATCAGTGAGGCAGCACGCTCTTCGATAGAGACTTGTGATGATGGCTGAACCGGTGCAGGGATGGGTGTTGGTGCAGTTGTAGATGTGAGTGGGTGCTGGTATCCAACAGTCTTCTGGTATAGTGGATGGGTGCAGATGCAGATGTTGTCGTCCGAGATCATTGACCAGTCCAGCAGCCCCTTCAACCTGCCATTGAGGCTATTGTCCCTAATCTCAGCAGCACATGATAAGAGTATCAATGCAATGGTGGTGGCGGTGCGGCCATGCTGTGAGAATGCAGATGCCTAGAATAGGTCGTTAGTCTGGCTATCAAAACAGGAACTTTGAACAATGACTTACTAAATTCACGGCAATCTCATGTGCCAAAGTCAAAGCAGCCAGATGGTCTTCTGCAAGTTTTTGTGAGTTTTTAACAAGGAGCAAAATCTTGTCAGCTACAGCATTCAGGGCCTGGTTTGAAACCTTGGAGGTTGACATGATTGATGTAGCAGGTATTGAAAGTGAAGTGGTTGCGGGTACGGGTAATAGATATCAAAGTTCAGGAGAAAAGGTAGAGTCCAAGTTTGGACATGGTATATATAGGGAACAACAATTTGGGCCACAGCGATGCCGATCAAATTTGCCAATGCCTCGTGTCCATTGTTCCTAGACGTAATGCACCACAAAGTGTTGGAATCTTGGCTCCTGCCACGACAAATATCAAACAATATTGTGGAGAAGTCCAACATCATTGACCACATATTCACATCCACATTTGAAACTATTGCGCACCACCTGTTCCCTATTTAACCGACATATTCCCCACCCAAACATCGTGAACACAATCCCTGCATCATGTCAACTCGAAGAGTCCGTTTTTCCATGCCATTGACAAGTGAACAGCCAGACCCTATCTCGGCCGGTGAGTCCTTTGTCAGTGCTCTACAACAGAAAGCCTTGGCAAAATGGTGGGGTAATTTTGTACCCATAGACCAATGGACACCGCCGAACATCCGGCATAAATTTAAGGATTTGCCATTTCGAAGTAAGTGTCTTCTTTGGCAGATCTTGTTCACAGCATCAGTAAGCTAATTCAATGCCAGAAAATGACATGACTGCGGAAATTCGGATCGACACTCCGGAAAGTCACTTGGGAGATTCAACTCCTGATGTCTACAACTGCAACTTCGCCAGAGTGGAGGAGGCCATTCAGGAACTCTCTGGTAGATATTTCTGTAAATTTATGTCTACAGTTTCACTGATTGAGATATTTTCAGCGATATTGGGTCAAGCCCCGATCTTAACCTCCATTGGTTAGATCACCTCCAACAACCAAGTCTATAGACAAGGTGGAGGAGCCAATGGACTGTGATGGTTCTTTGTATGATCTTGGGTGGGATGGCATTTCTGCTGTCTCACAGGATGTTGGACCACCATCCGAACAAGATATGGCAGCTGGTGAGTATTTAGCCCATGTCTGGCTGAGATGACTCACCCCGTTGATTTGAAGGCAACGGGCCAATTTATAATCTCGGATGGAGCAAGTCAATGCATCCGACTCTTTCAAATACCCAGGTCCAATCGCTTTTGGTGGACAGCCCAAGTGCTTGTATGTCGGTTTGTTAATTTTCAGTCAGTATCCTTTGCTAATGGAAAATTGCAAAGCAGATGGCATGAATAAAAGTCCTATCTATGATCTCAGTTGGACATCGGACCCTATATAGCCATCAGTAGTATTTGCGGATGAGACACAGGATGGCCCCATATACGATTCTGGATGATCTTGCACCACAATTTTACCAGAGGTGGCCAAAGCCGCTGATGACAATGATGACCCAGTATATGACCTCAGCTGGGTGGCAACAACGGTAGAGTTGACGGTGATGGACAACAGTGTTATTGATCTAACGATAGATGAGACACCTGAACCCTCTGCACCACTCCCGATGGAAGAAGAGGTTATAGACTTGACCAAAGAAGATTCTCCTGTTTATGATCTCGGATGGGGATCTAGTGCTGATGACAAAGAAACAGGTAAATGCATGTGGATTTTATTTGAACATTGACTGAACATTTCCGACAGCAAAATCCGGGCATTCTTCACCCATAAGGATGGAGATGGATGTTCGCAGTACATCTTTGTCAAATCATGTGAGGGAGGCTGAGGACAATATCCTCTGGAGGAATCGTTTCATGAAGGCGATCGGCAATGACATGAGTGAGTCCGATGTATTATCCAGTGACAATGATTTTAATTGATTTGCAGCCGATGAACATGTTCATGCCATTGTTGAAAATGCTGTCTATGGATTGAATGGTTCCTGTGTTCCTAGCCAAATACTCATGGACAACAGGCAGACTTTCGGGATGTTTGCCGAGTCACAAAACCGAGTTACTGACGTCAGCCTGGACATCTGCATGTTGCACGGCATGATTCAGCTTCAATGTCAGCTGTTAAGAACTGTGGATAGCATCATAGTGTCTCTGGAAGATAACAATAATTAGATGCAATTATATTAGAGGAGTGTTTATGGTGTACATGATGTCTTGGCCTATGTAATTTAATTATGGAACATATACAGGAGGTATACTCCAATGCATGAATGTACGGCAGGTGATAAATCAAATTCAATTGATGTCAGATATGATTGAACAGTCTGTTTCAAATGCAACATGGACATTAGCAAAATCCCAAACACAAACTTATGAGCAGATGAAGTTTGCTGCATATCTGGAGTTTGGCTTCTTGGATCGTTTGGGGGGGAGATCCACGGCCTTGCTTCTTGTGTGTTTTGTGGGGGAGTCCTGCAATACATCTTCGGCAGGACATTTATGACCTTTTGTCTTCAACTGAATTCCTTTCTCCTTAGGTTGTTCCAGCCCATCTTTAGGACCGTGTTTACCCCCGCAATCCAGTTCATTGGCAGAATATTTGGAAGCAGCTTCCTTGTCAGCATAGTCTGATCAATCAGTTAAATTCTTTCGTAATTTACTAGCAGGACGAGATGCTGGTCCTACCCTCCGAGGATTGTCTAGAGGTGTCAGTGGTGCTTGGGAAGCCGATGGCTCTGGCATTCCCGCTCCCCATGTCGCGTCTGCAGCTTCTGGCAAACTATGCAATGCAGTCGATTGTGCGGGGCGCGTTTTTGTGGGCGGTCTTGTTTTGATATTGGATATTGTATCCCCTCTAACATTCTTTGCCTTATGCATTAATGTTTCCTCAGCTGAGGGGTCCTGCAGGATGGTCACTGCAACTTTATTCTCTTGGTGCAGCTCCAGCACTCCATGGTTTGTTTCCTGTAATGTTCTAAACGCCTTTGTCTTCCTGATCAGTGATGTTTGATCACTCGAGAACCCCCCATCAGATGGCTCAAAATCCCATGCGGATTCTGTGCGAGTGTTCAATGACCCAGAAGCATTCCCAGGTTTTGTTTTGCCTCAGGACTTCATGTTTGGCTGCCTATTCCCATGTTCGGCCGTGTGTGTCCATGTCCAAGGTCTGTTGTTGTCATCACCTGAACTATCTGATTGGATGACCGCTGACATGCACAAAACCTGTTTTGTACATGAACATGGCAAATATCTGGCTTATAATACCTTTCACAATAGCCTATGGTTCTACCCAGAATTTTCTATGCAGCGTCCATATTTTATTTGAGTATTTTTGGGCTCAAATTGGCTCAGTACTACTTAACGGTTTAAAATAATACTTATCCTTCTGAAAGATTGCCTTCAAACTTGTAGTTTGTCAATTAGTCAGCAGTTTCTCACACCTCCTAGAATTTTCTCACGCATTTTCACATATTCTAGGGTATGTTTTGTGTCATGTTCTGACATATTCACATACACGGGTTTTTCATTTTTACGGTACTGAGAGGAAAGTTTGACACCTGAGACACAGCCAAATATGTTTTGTAAACAGATGCGATACATATCGTGAGAAAGACTCTGCATATTTCAACCTATTTTTCTATTGTGCGGATAATAGATAGTTTCTGAATAAAATCACAAATATGTATAAGGATCAAATTCTATTGATTAAATTCAGAATGAGTTTGGCAAGTACAGGGAGAATTTGTTTTGTGATCTGCATACCTTGCATATTAACTGAATTTCCAAAATTTTGTTACAAATATTAAGATGCCTCCAAGGTTACAATTGTTCTTGCATATTTCACGTGGCATTTCCAAGGCCATTTGGAGGATCAAGTCACATGTCAAACTTAATGTCTGCCCAACTGGTGAGCCCGAAAACAAATTAAAAAAATGGTCATTATCTGTCAATGCCGCAAATTTGTATACAATTTTTAGATATGTCAAACATATGTACGAGCGGCCCTTCGAGTGCCCCACTGAGAGGTTCACTCAATCAGTAGATAGTCAAAGATCCGAATTGATGTATCCAATATGAATATAGAATGTGACAATCTTACAATACAAGTTATGAGCGAGAATGATATGGCTCCAAATGTGGGATGTTAAATGCCTTGCGAACACCCAGGAATGCGCAAGCACTACTCGAGTTGGCTTTATACCAGGTGTCATCATACCAGTTGCGCGGAAGCTTCTGAATCGCAATGGAATTGTGGGCTGTGCGTTTCTGCTCCAAGATGCGTGGAAGGGATGAGTTCCCAATAGGGACGGTCAGATTTTCTTCATAAGTAGCTGGCATGAAGGATTCCATGGCATGCAATAACTGAGTGATGTCAGGACTGAGCCAAGGAAGGCCAACTCGCCTTGTAACCTTCGGTATCACCCCAGGTGGGGTATTGGTTTCATCCTCACTCATACCATCAATATTTAATCGCTCAATGACACGCATGATCGTGTCCCAAGTTTTGGGATTCCAATGGTGATTTTGTTCTACTATTTTTCGACATCTCTGGAGTGTCTACAAAAGAAATTGAGTGGTTAGATACTGTGATGGGAACCGAACCTACCCCATGTTTTTGAGTATTAGACCTATCTAGGTGTTGCCTTCGCTCGTTTCATGCTGACATTTCATGGGAGGCATGATCCATGTCTTCAAGATTAGAAAATGTGCTGAGCTGTGCGCGTTGTCGATACATTGTTTGAGTACGGCGTAGTTTATTGATGCACAATAGGTGCAGATTGTCAAGGTTCATGGTTTCATCATTGAAAACCACTTTAGAGTATATGCCACTTTTGACCTTCATTTGAAAATCGACGGCCAGGAGGTTTACCACCTCTGTGTTCCAAGGCGATTTCTTCAGTGAGTCGCTCCAATCAACGGAGAGGTCGCCCACGGTGGGACAACTGTTGTTGTCCTTATTGAAGGCTCAAACAGTTTCTTCTGGAGGAGATTGGGGCAGTGAGTTGTTTTTGCCTTTTAAGAGCCCTTTCTCTCGTAGATAGGTGCGGAATGCAACCTAAGTGACTAATTAGCTTGAGTTAATTCTGAAATGAAAAAGCGTACATGTAAATGATTCTTCGAGCCTCACTTGCCAGGGCACTTGCGGCGAAGGTGAAGTTTCAAACCATCCTCGTCATCACTTGATTGTGTGTCTGACAAAATATCTGTCTTACAAGTAGGAGGCCGGGGATGAATAGAGGCTCTCAGACCATCAGATAACCCATCTGTCAACTGTTCGACAATCGAAGGGACCAAGACATCAACAGCATGCTTCAGAGCTGGCACCAACACATTTTGAGACAATTCAAGAAAATGCTGTGCAACAAGCCGATCAAGCCAATCTTCTATGGTAGCAGGCAGGGGCAAAGGTTTCACAGGTACAGCAGTGTAGATTTGGGGGACCGTGGGCTGCAAGTAAGGATTGGATTCGCAGTTGGGGGACTGGTAGCTTGCGATTGGATCAGTGAGGAGTCCCTCGTACTCGCATCTGTCATCCCAGTTGCAGGATCTGGGTAATCGCCCATCGTGATGTCTTTGACACCGTTCGACAGAGGCGTGGAAAATATGGGCTGCCCGATATCTGTAATAACATTGTTAGAGTGAAAATTTAAGGACAAACATCATACTGACCTGCATATGAAGTGCGATGAGAGATGTCGGGACTCCTTGAACGACTATTTTCCCTGCGGGAGGGCGCTGCATCAGACCGGGTCCATGTCTGACGACTCCTACGACTTGTGCGCCCAAGGTCAAGCATCTCAAATGGTAATTGATTTGGGCTCAGGTCAGAAGTACGAGAGAGACACCAAGTTGGAGTAATGGGGGTAGTGGCAACAGGAGGTGGAGTTGACATAGGGATAGGGGGTCCAGAATGAAGTATGGGAGTGGACCCAGGGTTAGAGAACTGGAATGGTGTCTCTGCAGGAGTTGAGGTAGCGATTGGGGATGTGAGATTTGATGCAGGGATGTGTGGTACTGGAACATGAGGCGCCGCATTCGCAGCACGTCCACAAAATGCAGTGTAAGGTTTGTATGTCGGTGTACCTTGAGTAGGCCTCTCGAGATAATCTCGGTGTTCGGGCAACAGCGGAACTCGAGTCAACAGCGAGCCATGTGTTGTGAAACTGAAGATAAATGTAAGTACGCGGATGAGGGCATGTTTTGACTTGGAATACGCACTTCTGCATCACGACACCTATCTTGCTCAGTGCAGTTACAAGTTTGCCGCCAGGCCGAGTTTCTGGGACTTCCCCAAGGAGAGGCAAGGGAGAATTGTTATTAGGAGAAGACATCAGTTGAGATCATAGATGACAATGGACAAACTACCTAGTTAAATACGTAGGGGCGGCTGAGTGCTGTTGTGTTGTACAGTTGCTACGCATCCCAGTCAAAAGTTGATCAGTAACAGTAATTAATCGGCTTACTGTAATAACATATTCAACTTAATTGTCTTTGACTTTATTGTATTGAGTCGATCTAATTGCCTGTGACTGAAATTGGTTAAGTAGGTATTGTGATTATTTCATAGATCTACATACACCAGGACATGCCTAAGAATCGCGAGTACAACTATTTTTCAGAAACATACGGAGCATATCGCTGACAACCCAATTATCATGGTAACGATCAAGGATAGGATAACATTTTATGGCCTAATGGAGTTTAGTGAGACGAATACTGTAGACACGACCAATTGAGACCTACCTCTAAATAAACAACCTGCAAATACGATTGATTTTGCCTTTTCCATGACTTGTTTATGTTGAGATGTTCATGGGCAAGGTGTACAATGAAAGACTTTTGGTAAAAATAAGTAGATAAATGTCATGAGTACAATACAAGGACACTCACCCGAGTTTCCTTGTAATCTGCAATGGGCCAGCCCAGCGTCATCTGTAGATTGTACCCTCCCCGACTGATGCGGGTAACCTCTCGTCACGGTTTCGGAATTTTTGACGGCAGAAGGTTGGGGACAAGTGACTTAGCCGCAAGTGGATTTTTTTGGGCGAGGTCGAGCGCTGACGAGTCTGCATCACGGGAAAATACCCTGTGTTGTGTCAAAGGTGGAGGAGTACAAGTGCATTCAGGGGGAAACTCACAGTGTATGGTGAGCTGATTGAAGTGACAACAGTATTTCCATTTAGACGATGCTTTGGGCATGACGCCAAGAGACAAACAATTGGATGGGGAGCAAAGAGAGTTTGCGTGATCGCTACATCATATATTCAGCGTAGATTGGCATCTATATAGGACCTTTACTTACAACAATCTGCCTGTTGTCAATTAGACATTGCTTAGCATCCAGAACACCACAAGGAGCGTGTTTGAGTTGGGCCCGAACAAAAGTATTTGAAGTCTCATAGTCCAAACTACATAAATTAAAGCTACTCATACAGAAACTCATTGTCATGCAATAGGAAGAAAGAGAAATGTTAAACAAGGTTTCGGTGCATAAGTAGTGAATGGGGAGAATCAGACTCCGCCAGAGATACCCGAGGTGGCCATAGCTTCGGCATATCGGATTGGCTACAACACTTTAATCACCCTTCAAATCTAGTTGTTTCTTTTATCATTAAGTATAAATAGAGGATAATATAGAATACAATGTCCTGTAACCAATGCGCAAGCTTTTTATTGTATTGACTCCAAAGGCCCCTAATATAGATGACTTAAAACGAGGTGTACCGGCTCACTTATCTTACTGTCTCGCTGCAAATTCACAATGGTTTCGCATCGCATGAGGCATTTCTTTGATTCAAGTATTAGCACTCACTCAAATATACACAGAAACATTCATCCTTGGGTTTGCGTCGAATCCATCGAGAATGGCAATCCAGTAAACTGCAGAAGCCTCTTACTTTAAGAAAGGTTAGTTGTTAAGTTCACTCCTCCAATGCTAGTGGTTACATGTTGCCACAGCCATATTCCCAGCTGGCTCAAGCAACAGCGATCACACTGGCTGTCATTTGCTTAAGCCTTGCAACCATGCTGGCTATCATTTCATTAGATTACTTACACAGACTCACCGTCCACCGGGTATAAACAGTAGATCACATACACATCAGAGCGCAACAAAAAAGACATTGTTTTTACACTAGAATGCACATACAACAGACGTCATTGTAACAAGCAAATGCCAAAGAGTATCATAACGCAATTGTCAGTGAAGCGACGTCAAATGATTTAAGTCAGTCATCAATCTGAGCTGACCTTCAATGGCTGGAACAGCATTCGGATGAGCCGAGCCAAACAGATGGTCCTCTTCGGATATAAGAGTATCTGTAGGAAGATTATCACTGATAGTTGAATTGAGCCTGTGTCTCTTTCCTGTCGGGGTAGTTGCTGCTCGTGAGGATATCTGTGTTTCCGAATTCATATAGATCTGCAGTGGCAAGTTCTTCTTATTGAGAAGAACTTGCTCAACGGCCTTGTCATCAGACGGCCAACGTCTAACCCAAGGTGATGATCGTAAATGGATATGATGTGGTCATGTGACTTCAGACCCTGCATACCCTCCATCTTTGTGTATGCAGGGTTGAGTTTCATGAGCAGCTCTATATCAGGACTGAGTGACCTTACATCCTTCTGTTGATACAGCTCGTATGCCTTCCAAGACGCAAGGGAGACTACAGAGTACTGATGCGAAAAGAGCTCAGCAAGTGTGACGATAAGGTCATCGAGCGGTTTGCAGTCGATGAACACAGGACTGCGAGCAAGGTCAGTTCTTCCGATGAGAAAATGCTGTTTCGTGGATGATCCGGTTTTCTCCACCTCCTCAGTTTCGAAGATCTCCTTGAAGAGAAGTGTCCGCTGGGCGTCGGTCATGTGGGTCCTTGAATACTTTAACACCGCCCACAGCACAACGTAGAGACTGGACTCAAGGTCGTCCTTGATGACATGTGGGGCATTTTGGTTTTGAACCAAGTAGGCTGACATGAATTGCCAGGTCCCCTTAGTAAGGCGGAAATTAGTAAAATGTATAACTTGGGAATAGCAAGAGCATACCGTGCGGGTTGATTGTCGAGGACCCTTTGTAGAGACCGACTTGGCTAAGTCCCAATCAATGAGAATGCCCTTGCCACGGAACATGACAATATTGCCAATACTGAGGTCTCTGTGTAATATGCCTGCTTTTTCATATGCATCCTTGTGGGCTGCGTTTGATTAAAATGAGTATGTTACATTGGGCTGCAAAGTACATACCAAGCAGTGCATCCCGAACCGCTTCAACAAGCCGGTGAGACCTTGGAAAGTTTGTCAATGCCTCGCCTACAACATCAAGAACCAGGCGGTAATGGCTGTGTGGAGTGAGTGTGTCATGGGGACAGGCCCAGTCAGCGCTTGAAAATTTGACGCTCTGCAGGAGTTGTTGAGGAATGGAGGGTACATTGTGGCATGCGATACATGTTGCGACATTGACAACATTGGCTTCCTTCAATTGCTTGTAGGTTTCTCCTTCTGGTAGGATATGGGGCAACAACACCTGCCAAGAGTCCTTGAACATGACGATCCTGTCTTTGTTGGGATCATATGCAGGACAGGTGCGTGTACCACGGCCAACAGGCAGAAGACCCATTGCAACAGGTGCAGGAATTATCAACGCAACGAGGCTAGAGTCCTCGGCGGGGACCTGCACTTTGAGCATGCGTGTTTTGGCATCAAGGTTGAGCCTTTGCCTGGCACGGTCACTCTCCTCGTCACTTGCGGGCATCACAGAAGTATCAACTCCATGCAATTCAGGAGATGCTTTTGAGTAACGATAAAAAAAATCGACTAGGTGTGGCTCTGTGTTATAATGTATAGGAGAAGTGACAACAGCACCCTCGCTGTCCCATCTGATGATACGTGCTTGATCTTGTATAATCAACACAGAGAATGTGTGGGTACGGTATTGAGCGGTAAGTTGAGCTGCTGTGTAGCTTGTAATTTGCCCCAAGGTATCTATGCCCTTCTCGGTCTGAGATATAAAGGATGTTCTGTTGTCGCATTCACGAAATGTGTCGTGAGTTCGGGACCACTTGAATTCAACAACAACTTCAGCGGTTGCCATATTGCATCCCGCCAATGTTCCATCAGAGTATACGCAGACATCCAGCTTGACTTGGAAGGGGAATTTTTTGCAATTATTCATGTCTGGGTAGAGGTGAGAGTCAACAAAAGATAGACCAGATGCAAATGTGTTCATGGTGTTAATCTGTGCGTGAGAGTCGGAGTGTATTCATATAAAGAAAAACAATCAGAAAGCACCCACAAACGGTTCATAAGCCTGCGCTTCTTCTCTAGCAAAGATTGTGCTGTCAAATGCGCCAGAAGTGAAGGTGTTGTCTGGAATCTTGGTAACCGGTAGGAACTTCTGGAGAAAATCCTTGGCATCCATCGGGCCAACAAGGAAACCTTGCATCTCCTTGCCCATAGCATTGATGGTCAGGATCCGATAGCGTGTGTTGGTTGTGTGAGTCAACATCATGGAGCAGCCTCGCTTCACGGGAGTGTCAAGAAGCTTGGATTCTTGTATGGTAGGCGGTGCAGGTAGTGTCTGATGGGGGCTCTGAGGTGTGCTTGGCTCTGCGGGGGAAGAATCAGCAGGGAGCAGTAGAGTGGGTATCAAGGTCATGGTATATGTTTATGTACAGAGTAAGGGACAGTGGGATAGCGGTATGATGATGGAAGGAAAGAGTTCAAATATTATGATCGAGAGGATTATGTAGTGAATGGGAATTCATCGGATATTGCCGATAAGTCAGCGACTATACTAATTAACCGTACATGTACCGGTACGGTGTGATGATGTATTGGGCCCACTAGACCCACTCGCATGCTTGAGTACTCTAGACCCACTCACATGCTTGAGTACTCACCATGGATCAACCACATGTTAAAGTTGTGTTAAAGGCTTTGAAAGGAAAAGAGAAATTTCAAGGTTTCGAGCTTCTAAGTAGTGAATGGGAAATTAGAACTCAGATGGGGATATCTGAAAGTGCCTGACCACTTGTTGGTTATCGCACTAAGTGGCTAACCCACTATCATAGGTGGTGCTCAGCAGGTGTGAAATATTTATATGTCTGCCTGCCTGAAAGTTACAAAATCATGCAAAATGGGTCGCGCCCATGTGGTATATCATAGCGTGTAGTGGTATAGTAGTCTTGTAAGCTATACATCCCTTTTGATGACTATACATGTATCAGCACGAGTGAATCTCTTCCCTTCCGTCGTGATTATCTCCGTTGATTTTTTCGGAGCAGACCTCATTGTAAAAATAGTCCCAGCATGATCGCCTCGTATCAAAGTGAATGTCTTGTTTGGTCCCATTGGTGGTTCTGGAACAAGAACTTCAACAGGAATTGTGTCCACTTTCATCCCCTTGTTACTTGTTCGGGAGGAATACCTGACGGCAATTTCTCCCTCTTTGACCGGTCCTTGAGGAGGTACAAACGGATTCGGGACGAGCGTGTCAATGAGGTGATCAAGGTACGACGAGTACCACACAGCAGTGTGTGTCTTTACTATCCTGAACTTCATATGCCAATCAAAGAACAACTTAACGATGCGGGGATCGTGTAAGGCTGCGGCAAGGCTGGCTGCTGTGATCTAGTGTGAGAAACAGAAAAAAATGCAATAAGATGTCACCATACCAGGACTTGTTGATAAACCCCCACTGGGAGGAATCGTTCGAGGTTCTGTCAAGTCCTCTTCATCGATGGTCCAACAGTCTGGAGGGGCTGCATGGAGTGAGATGAGGTAAACAATGTGTGAAGAATCTCACCAGTTCCAGTACGCTCACTGCTCAAGTGATGCAAGACTGACTCAGCGGGTGCATCCCAGGATGATCCGATGACAGGATCAGCAGGCTGATCAGAGCACGAAACAACAGGGGGATGTGAGGGACGGGGAGTTCGAGGGGGCTCGACATGTGGGGCTCGAATAAATGATGCTCGAACTAAATTGTTGAAATTGATGTGCAGATTCAGAGGCAAACGAACACCGCTAAGGAGAATTCCTGTCCGGCTGGATGTGGGTAAGTATCAAACAGAACAGGAGAAACAGTTCTCTCACCTGACAACATGTTCTCAATGGAAAACCCTTCTTGAACATTGAAGAACCGCCACTATGCATGTGTCCTGGGAGAGCGAGTGCAGAGTGCCTCTGTAGGATTTCATAGGACCACAGATGACAAAAACCTCTTGACTGACAACGCTCTGCATCGGATCTCGATCACTCCATCTGCCAATTCTTGCAACATACGTGATGGATGTAGTGAACTATACTCCATACAATTAAAAGTGAATCAAATGGAATTTATGAATTTATGGAAACAAACCTTTGTGTAAGGCGTGACTTGGATGGTTAATGTCTTTTTTTTCAAAATTCACGTGCAGTACTGTGCCTGATAGGTGGAGTCGTTCACCTCTAACGACTCGAACAGTATCTCCAGCTACAACATCATATCCGCGCTCATTAGTATATCGAAGAGCTGTTGGATTGGGATTAAATGCTGTTTCCCTTATCGGAACCAACAGCATCCCCAGCTCGCTCGAGAGGAACGCGAGTGACTGCGTCACTAGATCAACCTCGGTTATCTCCCCGAATTGAAGATGATAGACTCCGTCGACTACAATGACATAATCGCCTTTCATAGGATTGTCATGATGATAAACTGATGCGTCACCCGGGCTCAAATTGCTGGATTCATTAATGTACGTTGCCAAGCAATAAGTTCTGACAGTGAACTGTTGATAACAGTGTCAGTAATATAATACGAAATGAATTAAATCACTTGCTTGAGACTGGGAGGTGTGGTCATACACCACAACGGAGTTATCTTCAATGCCGACTTCAACAACAATTCCAGTTTTTTCTTTGAGGTTCAAGGCCTCTATGCTATCTGTGAGCACACGAACATTGTCTCCCACATGGAATTTCCTCTCCAGATTGGCGATGGGGAACATGAGCGGTGTCGAAGAGACCTTTCCTACATGAAGCGATTCCTCCATGTAAATCGATGCTGAATGAGTTGCCATGTCGACACAGATAATCTTCCCCAGGCAATTACGCAGCTCCCCCGCTGTAATTCGTACTAAGTCATCTTGCATCCAGTGCTGTGCAGCATATGCATGCCAAGTGGATTGCACCAATGCAGGATTGCAGCCCGACTCCTTGTGAATCAGGATGTCCTGTGGGGTGGGAATGGCAATCTCAACAACTGCGGTCCTGGTGAGTTTCAACGACAGAAGACCATGGATGTAAGTGTGTCCGCCATCCTTATAGATGATCTCGCCGCCGGGGGAGTTGAATAGGCATGGCATACAAGGGTCCTGCCTAATATCGCTCTTCGGGACGTGGAGCGACCTTGAGGGAACTAGGAGTGTGATGGTATTGGATTCGGGATCATATGAATGTCCATATCCCACGTCGGACCAATAATGCCCACAGGTGGGACGATACCAGCCAGGAATTGCTATGTCAGGATTGGAGGATCAATCTGCTGCTGTGGGGAGAAAGATGACATCGACAAAACAGTTGACATGCGAGGAAGGCCAAGCTTCTCTGATGATCAAAGTATTTTTGGCCTTGACACATAAGCGGCCTGGAAGGGTTGAATGCATGTAAACCCGGAACCCCTTGGTTTTCAAATGTGTTGCCAAATAAGACATTTTTGAGGCTGTAATTCAGTTTAGATGGTGATATGGCATGTTCTGAAGTTATACTCACAGGGAACAGTGATCAGCCATGTTGGGAGGGCAGACGTTGGCACCACCCCGGCGCTCTGCATAATTAATGTCGTTTGGTCAACTACTCCTCCATCAGAGTCCTCTAGAAGCACTGTGTTTGGCATGCATCAGATGTCCGCTTCCGAAATACTTCGCGTTTTTCGTCGAGAGAGTCGGCTTCTGTGATGTCATCCAACACAGATTCCCAATGAGCGTATGACTTTGGGTCATCACTAAACTCTACCCCCAAACGGTCGTACGGATAGCTAGAGGTGATTTACTGTCAATAAACTGGTTCAAAATGTCATGTGCATAGTCATTTGATGAAAGAACTCGTCATGGCGGATCGTAGGCTGGGGTGAACTTTTCACCGAGGATGTCCATCTTGTCTATCCAAGCACGTCCAGGGTGAAGCTGTGACCTACTCGAGGGCACCGTAACTCTTGCGAGCAATGACATGTGCTGAGCCTTGACGGTGTGAAGATTTTCTAAGGCTAATACAGCGTCTTCATTGGCTGAGAACAACGCATTCCTTGCCTCCGCCCAATCTGGTTCAACATACCAATCGCCCAGGTGCGATGTAAGCTTCGCCTCCATTTGAGGGAAGGTCATGTCAGTGGTGAGATACTCCTCAAAAATGTTCCATGCTGCCTCGTCCTGCAATGGTGTCGGTAACACGAGATCATCGTCATCATGATCAGATATTAGGAACGACTCGTCTAGTAAGGAATGAAATGCGTGAGACATAGATAGCTATTAGTGACGAAACGACTCACCTTCCATATCATCCTGATCATCGTGCATATCATCGTGCTCATCGCTAGATTCAGCATTGAGGTCGAGATACATCTTCGACATAAGTTAGCTGCATGAGCAGATAATGATATCTTGACTCACCTTGGTTCGTTTTCTGAGCTTGTCCAAATCGATTCCAGACATTGAAGCTCGTTTTAACATCAATGATAATTTCATTCTGAGATCGTAATCTAGCTTTATCTTCTATAATTGTCAAGCACATAGCGCGAGTAGAGAGTAGTGAAGTAGAAAAGAAGAAGCATTACACTGAGGATGAGCCATTTTGTAGTGAATCCCAATTTGGACTGTGGACATTCCCACACATGTGATTTGACCATAAATGGGGGCGTGGGAAAGAACAATCCGAGAAAATACAAGACGTCTACTACAAATTTTGAGGTCCAGGAGAGGTGTAAGTATAAGTAATATAACTAATGGTATATAATGCAACATGATAATGATAATCAATGACCGCAGATCTTTAGTGTAAAAATGTCCGGACAAGAAAAGGCTGCTTTCAACTTCTCAGATACAGTGTTTCGAGTCTGAAGCTCGATGTTTTGCAGCTCCTGAAAGGCGGTGTCGAGCCAAGGACGACAGTGAAGCTTACACAATGATAAGTACTAATTATGCTTGGTATCAAGGAAAACTCACAAAGATATCATCTCTGCAATGCGTAGAAATCGCTAGATTCTTTGCAGGCACCATGCGGCATTCATTATCCAGGACCTCAAAGTGCTCAGCAGAATGAGCAGTGCCATAAAAGCTCAACTGTGACTCCTGGATGCCGATAGAGTGTTGAGTAATGCCCAGAATGACAGACAGGTAATTAGGATTGAACGGGGTCGAATCTTCCTCAAACTGCACGCTCAGGTGTCAGATAGAGTGCGCTGGATGGACTTTGGCTAGGAGGGCAAGCAGGTATCAAGGTGGACCACCAAGAATGCCCAAATTTTGCAGGCAGTAATCAGGAATGACATGCCGCTGATGTGAGGAGTCATTGGTAATGAGGGAAGGAGTATGTCCTGGCATAATCCAGACTTGACCAATATTCAGATGCCATGCCAGAAAATCACCTAGAGCAGCAGGGGGACACTCAACGTCGATGCTGAACATATGAAGTAGCGGAAGGTGGACATTTGTTAGCAGTGTGGCCCACTGGATGCCGCTCAAGGCTACGTGAGTGAGTGAAAGATCAGTGATTGGGGAATCACGCAAGGTTGCGAGAGTGAGCTGGGCGACACTCGAGGAGAAAAATGTGGGCGAGTCTATTGACAAACTCCAGAGATTGCATACTTCGCTTGGATCTGAATGGGGAACAAAATCGGGTACCATCGTATGAGGGTGCTCTGCATCAGTGCTTGAATACCGAAAACTAGAGCAACCTAGGTCCTTGATGAGTTGTAACAGAGATGCCAGATCAACTCCCGGGGGTGTGTCAAAGCATATAACCGATGAGATTGGCTTACTACCTCTCAACGCCTCCAAGAAAACCTTGAGGGCTGTCAAGTTATGGTCACCGATACCAAGGAAATCACATCGGAGAACCCGAGGAATGCAGAAGAAAGTCATGTGAGCATACAACGGAAGGGCTAGGCAGCCTTGGGCATTGACTCGCAGCCACATCTGCTCAATGTGGAGGCCCATGGAATGAAAATATAGGGATGCAGCGACATCCCTTGACAGGCGGCAGACTTGTGTGACTGTCCTCAGGTCTGCCACAGGCAGCTGTTCGAAGATCATCAATATCAGCTCATTTGGAAAGGGCCAACATGAAGTCAGTATGCCGCATCCAGAGAAGTCAGCCGGAATGGCGACCTAAGGCACAATTAATGAAATTTTTTGACAATGATGAGGCTGGCTTACTTGCAAAGAGGCACGGTCTGTGCTGTGGTAGTACACTGCAGATATTGGCTGGGCCTGATGACAAAAATAAAACACAGGCGGAGGACTCATGAAAGGAAAGACTCACTGCGAGGTCAGAAATCGCATAGGATCGGGCGCGGGTACGCCGCTTGAAACTGGGAGGGAGGGAGTCATCCGGTGTCTCCAAGTCTGATTTGCGTTTCAAACGCTCTTGAAGTATTTGAGGTCGAGAGTCTGCCTGTAACGAAACTATACTTAATGTCAGAAGAAGACTGACATAAGGAAAGGCTCACAGTTAGGTCGCCAATCACATAGGAGCGAGTGGAAATTTGTGTGAAGCCCATGACTATGACTATTGGATTGAGCATAACTGAATATATCCGACATATTTATACACGTATCTTGAACGTGGTCGGATCCTTGCCAACAATAAACTTGTCTACATGCCAATGGGGATGGACGACTCAGGTGAAATGAGGTATCAACCTCACAAAGCACCATAGGGGAGATTAAACCACTTCGCAGAATTGAACAATAATCCATCCCGAGCAAGCAGCCAAGAAGCTCAATTCGGCCTCAATACTGCCAAGAACAATGAGTGATTGTTTTGCTTGTTGTGTAGGTAGAGCTGACTTACAGTCAATGAATGTTGTAACCAGCGCAGAAATTACTCAAGTGTCACTGTTCAGCGGCACCATTCAAAAGTCTAACGATCTATAACATGTCTAGACTACATTGACGCAACATCAGAAGCGATTAACAGTCTATACTACAACACAATAACAAGTCTAGACTATGCTATGACACAATCACAGAAAGCCTATGCAAATCTAATCAATTGAACAACTGAAATATGGAGGAAAGGAAGACGCAAGAATGAAGGTTTGGAACCATATGTAGTGAGTGAGATTAATCAGACTCTGCTGGCGTTTGCCGCAAGTCAAACAGAGTAACCCACTTGGCCCACTTTGGATTAATCAGACTCCGCCGCAAGCCACTTGGCCCACTTTCGGGTATCTCCATCGGAGTTCAATTCGTCTCATTCACTATTTAGGTTCGAGATCTTCTGTATGTTTTTCTCTTTCTTTCTTTCATCATGTATAGTCCTTCATAGAGTATAATTCGTCTCAATATATATGATGTATTACATAGAGCATTACATAGAGCCGTGATCACGGCCTAATGTAACATGACAATGATGGACTTGTGCCCAACCCACCATGGTTCAGTGACTCCATGAACTTTGAGTTCAAATTAAGCTGATTTATTTATAGACATGGGCTATTTACACCTTCAGTCAACTCTCTGCAAACTCTCCTGGCATTGTGGCAGGATATCCTAATCTTCATCAGAAGGGACTTGAATGTGAAGGTATGTATGTTAACTTACCTGTCAGACGGCCACCCATTGGAGCTGATGGTTTAGTGCTTAGTGCAGCCCCGAGGGACTGCAACCCACGTTTCACTTTGGGAATGAGATTTTCGACTTGGTCGAAAATTTGTCGTGCTATAGCAGGTGAGATAAGATAGTCCTATGGTAGTGTCATTTACATTGATCGGCGTAGAATGAATGATCTGTGTTACATTCTGGTTTTCCACCTCAGTGGTCAGCTCTCCATTATAACATGCTTCAGGCAGCACAATGTCATCGACATCAATGCCCAACATTGCTGTTTGGAGCACTATGTACATGCGCTCCCATAACCGTTCAGTGACAGGATGCATCCTTTTGCAGTGACGCTCTATGTACTTATTCATGCCTTTGTGTAGGCCTCGGATGAGATTTATTTTCTTCGGCATCTGGTAACTGGAGTGAAAAGGTACCAGAACGATGGCGAGGGGTCCAACCTTTGGAATAAAGTGAGTTTTGGCTTTTCTTGGTGACAAGTGAGACTAATTACTTCATCATATGCCATAAGGACATCTGTGCAACCATATGTCCCATTTGTCCTGTTACCCGCACTGATGGGCAGGTCAAGATCCACAGCGGATCCCATATACACATCCTGAAGATGTTCAATACCCAATTATACGTAAGTGCTGTACTCACATTGTCTGAGCTTCGCTGAAGTTCACGCTCATAGGTCATCAACAAGGCATTTATTCCCCATTGCAGCTCCTGCATCTCGTACGCCTGTAAATTTCCCCTGAGCGCACACGCTGATGGTCTGCCATATGGATTGAATCATGTTTTTACAGAGCTGTTTTTGTGAGAAGGTAATTCTGATGCCATGACTGGTGCAATTTACTGACTTCGTTCGTGAACTCAAAGTATGCCAGGCACTCTTCATTTCGCAATAACAATAGAAGTTGCATTTGAACAGTTTTTTTTGGTTTAATACATATTCCACCGCTTTGTCTCCATTCCTTGTCTTTGTCTCCATTGTCTCCATCCATTCGTCATCTATTCATTGATGGGCACCATTATCAGTGTTGCATCCCGGTGCTTTTCTTGCAAGTCTTTTGTCAGCAAATATGAAATCCATCTCGATGCCAACCCACCAGGTTAAATACACTCGGCTTTTCGCTGGTGTCTCAAAAGTCAATCATGGATGTAAGTGGCGAAATCCAGGGGAGCTCTAGGTTCACTGATGCAGATTTAGTTTGCCAACAAATTTATTCTTACTCGCCATACCAAGACAGTCAATGTATTGGCTGTGAGCATGCATGGAGCATTGCTCCTTACAGGAGGTAGCTAATCATCCGTTTTCCTTGCTCGCTCATGTTGACAGCTGAGATAGGCAATGATAGTAGAGTCGTGGTATGGAGCCTCACATCTGGTGAAATGATTCAAGAAATTGTTTCACCAGCGGCAGGATATATTAGTGCGATCACTTGGATTGATGTCGACGATCGTGGAGAGACAACCTTTGCATTCGGGGCGTCAGATGGCAACGTCCAAATCTATGAAAGAACTGATGATGTAAGTGTGATGGTAGTAGCACCTCTAGGTGACTGATAATGTTTGATCCCGTCAGGCACTTTTCGAATTTTGCAGTACTACGATTGGTCACTCGGGTCTGGTAGAGTCGCTTGCTTGGGATCCCGTGCATCATCGACTGGCGAGTGCCGGTGACGGTCGGCCCCACGTTTGGAACTTCACACCAGACAGTGTGTTACCAAATCATAGTACTTGTGTCGCATTGACTTTGTATTAGAAACTCTCGTTTTCATCACCTCAAAGCTCAATAAGCAGCCATATGTGGCGCGCACGGTACACTTCTACGATAATGGTACTTCAATACTAGTATTGTATCTTGAAAGCGGTGAAATGTACGTGCACCATAAAAATTGTGATCTTACTCTGACTGTGAGCCTAGTTTCTGCTATTCCATCGAACCCTGGGATTTAAAGTGGCACAAGAAAGTCCAGGGAAGGATGTGAGTTGGCGTTCACTCTGTGCATACAGTTATTGATCCTTACGCTGCAAGTAGGAATACTACCCTCAAGGGCAATTTCCTCCTTGTAAGCAATCTTAAAGACGGGGTTGACAAATATTCTGTGCCTAGCCTTCAATGTGTCCAGTCTTACAGCCATGTGATCCTGTGCAATGTGCCTTTGCAAATCTCCATTGCTCGACAAGCAGGGCTCATTTTCATCGGGGGCGACGATGGTTTTGCTCGCATATTTAATTATAGTACTGGTGCATTCCGAGGTCAGTTGGAACATGCCAATTGGGGCGATCATGTAAGTGCGGTTCTAGCATGTATCTCGCTCTATCTAATAAGACGGAGGTAGTCGTACAAAGGGCGCACTGGGTGCATTGTTGTTACCAGCAGCTGCTTTGATGGGCACAGTAGTGTGAAGGTCTGGGCGGAGGGCGAATTGGTATGTGTTGTTGAATATGTATTGAGGCAATTGCTCATCACTTACTATAGACATTGACGGAGGACAACAAGACCCATAAGTTACCCTCAGCGGGATCTTCACCTGCCTTCCAGCTGCTTTGGTTTGCGATTATTTGCGTGCTCATGAACATGGTCATGCATGCTCTTCAGTCGGGCACAGTATCAGAACTTTTCCTCTTACTTCAAGGCAGTGTGACACGTGTCATTGGGGCTTTGTAAACTGTGTACACTTGACGTTTACTATATGTACTACCAGATCTACAAATTGTTTGCGATATCATTAAACCAGCGTGATCTTCCACCTCTGATGACAATCAGTCATACACCAAAGTCCTACAGGGTAGGAGGTTAGTACTGGTGCAAGACTTCTATAATGGCAGAGAATTCACCCTATTCATTGCTTTTAGGACCAATTCAGTTCCCCAAGGCATCGAAATAGTGTGGCAAATTTTACTCTTACATACCGGTACAATATCAAGCTGGCTATTTAAAGCACAGCTCCATATCTGTGCGCCAAAGTCACTGTAGCCTAGAAAGGGGTCTTGGTACCCCGCAGCTACAGGTAAGTAACATCTGACTGCAACATAGTAAACCCGCTGCTGATCCTCCACAGAAAACATGTGTTCAATAACACCCGGTACAATTTTTGCCAATGTGTTCTTGAAGAACACACAACTATCCGCCCGTGAATAGTTGCGACTGCAATATTGCAATCCTGCTATGTTCAGCCATTTATACTCAGTGATGTGGTCGTTTCCAGGCAGTTGAGTCCCTGCTTTTTCCAATGTGTGTCGCACTTTTGAAATAGTGGTCTTGATGATATTGGCTTCGACATGCGAGACACATGGAATCGGTTCTGTTCCTGTTTGCAGGATGCCAGTGTCTGTACGAAATCCTTCTTCTGCGAATGGAGCACAGCATCGCTGCAGGATGTCAGCTGCTTTGTTGAAGATGTCAGGTGCACCAGGTTCTTGAAGCATTGCCTTGACGCGTGCAGCTGCGCAAAATGTCTCCAACATAGTTCTTTCTAACTCCCCTGAAGAACCCTATTCAATATGTCTCCCGTATTTCTATTCGTGCTCACCGATCTTGTAGTTCGTATTGGTCTTCTGCAGGGCTCTGATGATCCTCTCAAAGGGAAACATCCACCAGCCATGCATAGGTCCATATCTTAGAAGAAACTCGTGAAGGTGGAGACAGGAGTGGTGGTTAGGATGGAAAGAATGGCTTGGAAAAACATCTCGGATGCACTCCAGGTAGGCTTTCATATATATGAGGTACTGCTGAGTGTGGTGCGTCGACGTTACATGCGATGTTCCCCATCGGATTGCCATCGCCAGCAGCATTGTGCTATGAGCTAACTTCTGCCTCTGTTTTCCATTTTCATCACCAGGTTTCGTATGATCGGTCCCCCAGAGTTTTGCGAGAGTCACCGGTAAGTCGAATTCAATTGCAGACCGCCATTGCTCTGCCTTGAGCTTACCGTGCTCTGCTTCCCCCAGGTTTTTTGGTGGTCTGCAGTGCCATGAAGGTCGTTCAATGCTGCGCAGTTCTGTTTGAATTTGATCGATCTCTACGTCTGTGAGGACTTTGCCAGATATGCCATTTTGGTTGTTTTTCCCTTCTACTTGGGCCACGCACTGCTTTACTAATTCCTCCGTGATGAATGCATTGTGATCAACCTGCATCTGGTCTCCGTCGTTCATTGGAGCACAGTGCGTGGGTTCACCCTATCAAGTTGTCAATGGGGATCATGACTATGAAATGGACAACGCACCAGCAAGGCTTCGGCTATCTGTATTTTTGTGCTGTGTTTACCGGCGCCCGACAACACTAGCCCTGCCTCTTGGATCAGGGCTTCTAGGACAGGCACCCGTAAGCGGGTCATTGCAGAGACAGTAGGGTTCGATCTCAAGAGTGTTCTTCCCCTATCTAATTCTGATGCATCCAAGGGTCTTTTATCTGGCTTCCTGATCGCCCTGATCGCCCTGCCAGCCTGTTTGTCGATGATAATCAAGTCCCTGAAATGATGTTGCACCAACCCAAGGAAGAGGTTGTGCATGCAGTCTACAATGACAAACCTCACTGGATCCCAGTAAGGTAGTCGTAGAAGCTCGGACCACCTCACTCCGTGTCGTTTAAATATTTTGTCACGTTCTGACTTTGTCTCTGCACTTTTCCATTCTTCTGCAGCTGCCCTATGTTCGCTGCACGTGCGTCGTCTCCATGTCTCGCAGTCAAAATTCGCAATCTCTGACTTTTTCTGCCAGCAAAGTCCACACATTTGATTTGCAGTGGGCCCCGCACATCTTACGAGTTTGCGAGCGGCTGGTAAGTCGTTGATTGCCACTGTGATGACAGACCTTGAAAGTCTCCCTTCAGCATGTTGGAATGTCCTCGTAAATCTTGTCCCATCTTTCCATGATGGCACGAAAAAGTCGACAACAGGTCAAAGAAAATGAGTTATTTCATCGAGAGCTGGTTCTCTGGGTCCAGGTATAATGCCGACCAAGTACATGTTTTCTGGTTTGTATCGGAGACTGGGCGGCAGGTTCAGTAATCCCATCGCAATTGACCCAACCGATTTTTTCTTGCCAGAAGTCTTATTTCTGTGAGGGTTAAACCAGTCCACTGAAAGACTTCATGCTAATCTGAGATCCTGTCTCTTCAGCCCATCCAAGAATGATTTTCCGTCAGCGCCGAGGATCTCCTGCATCACAGTGCCGTCCTTGATATTCCACATGCGATACTTCTCATTCATCATCATTCCACGGTCCATAGCTTCCTCTATACTCGGCCGACTTAACATCTCGGCAAGGAATGCATTGAAGTCTTGAATGACATACGGGCGCACCGGCGTCCACATTTTTCCGCCTTTGCCCTTCCTACATTTGACCATCAACTGACCACATGGCTTGCTACCTCGGTACCTCTGATGGGTGCAGCATTCGGGGTATGGTGATTTTTTTCTTGTAGGTACAGGTGGGTATGTGCAAGAACATCTTGTGCAGGTGGCAAATGTTTGAGTAACTGGGTCCAAGTCAAATTTTTTATGGATGGTATGGATATCAGAGGGAATGGTGGGACAGGTCGACGTTCTGAGTGTAGTCTCGAGGAGAAGATTCAAAAGGCCAAGGACTGCATTGCACCATGGATGAGTGACATGTCCGAAGACATTCAAGATCAAGGCAATGAGCATGGTAAGGAGTATGGCGGGATTGGCATTGTGGTATCTTTGTTTGAAGCAGGGTCCTATTTGTGATTTAGTAGTGTAGGCATTCCTACTAACAATTGTGTCTCACCTGTGTCGACAATTTTTGCACTATCCAGATCATTATTGGTTGCTCTATGAGCGATCACGTCCATGATGCTCTTCACCGCAAGCCTCATTTCCTCCAAAGTTCCAAGAATTGCGTGCCAAAACTCCTCATTACAAGCATCGCTACTGACTTGCATGTGTCTCACTTCTTCCTGCATAGTAGTCATTGTTTCATACTCTGCAGTAAGCATCCCCAGTACTTGTTGCCCATCAGCCAAGTGAAGCTGATTTACAGCATCAGTTACAGTTTGAAGACAAGCATGCATCTCAATGTCGAGGAGGAAAAGCTTGCGGTAATTATCTGATGCTTCTCCATGTATTTCCGCTGAATGCTCCCTTGCAGCTCTAAAGGTATCATTCAGCGTGCATCGACTTTCAGCTGTGATTCGCCCTTCTTCAAGCCTGCCCTCAGTTCTGTCTTCCAATGTCAATTTGAAGATGCTCCTGGCGAGGTCCTCGTCGTTCTATTCCTCCAAAAGTAAGCTCGATATGAGCGTCAAATCACGATATTTAACTCACCCCTATCTTCAGCCGTTGCTTTGCCATCGTTTATCTTGCGGGAAATCTTGTGCAACAATTTTGATAGTATGAGTGATGTAGTGGGTATTTGTAGTGAACGTAAACTCAATGAAACTCTTGTTCCTGTTGTTGTCCAATGCTCCTCCTTGTATTTTCATAATGTCCTAACTAACTAAGCGGCCCACTAGACCAAACATATAAAACGAGTGCCCCACTAAGTGAGCCACTTAGTGGGGCACTCATATGACACGCACACAAGTTTAGGGTCGTTGTCAGAGGCTAACTCTCAGACATATTCGTGTACATATTTGTAATTTTTGCGCTCTCTGTCCGCCCAACATAGCCACACTCTGTCCCTTCGCCCAATTTAATACATTGTTAAAATTTGTCACATATCTGATCGTATGGCATGTCCACCATTTATATCTGAATTTGTGTAGTCAACATATACCAATTATTTTCATTATCTGGTTACAAATATAACAATAAGGTAAATTGATACCAACAAATTTAGCATTTTTGTCCTTGCATATCCCTAATCTGATTATCAATCTGCAGTCAACACTAATTCTGGACATTTTTTGACTATGATCATGGATCTTAAGACGAACTATATTCTTTTAAATATTAACAATTTGTTCATCAATTTGCATGGGATCTGTTGCAGACTTCTATCTGGCTGTGTCTCAGGTGTGAAAGACTTCAAACTTCATTACATAATCAGTCTCATGTGACTTGGTGGCACATTATGACACACATGCAAAGCTTCATCATAACAAATATGCAAGACCAACACTATGGTATTTAACAAGTTAACATCAGACTGTGAGAATCTCAACAAGGTTTGAGCACAGCTTGAGAGTACAGCATTCAGGCAGTGCAGAGGCAGTGTACATAGCTTTGTAGCACAGGTTAGCATAGCCACAGAGCACAGCCACTAATGTTGATTTGAAAGATTCTGGAATATTCCATTAGACAACACTGGAGTTTGGTGGAATAGTCTGGAAAATTCTATGACATTCTTTGAAATTTTAATAGTAGATTAGTAATCAGTAGCATAGCCACTAGTAGAGTAGTATATAAGGGGCCCATTTTCCCCTCTAATAAAAAGAGCTCCAAGCCAAGTACAGAGAGCCCATTTCCATATTATCTAAGCTTGAGTGTGAATAAGTGAGTGGAGAATAAGAAGAGTGTTCAGAGAGCTCTTTTTAAACTCTCACCTCCATGATACTAAGTGACATACTGAGTGAAATATGAAGTTATTTCATTCCACTTTTGACACTGTTTCCCATGACATACAGAAGCATATTTGAGGCCACCATTGAGCCATACTTTTGACACTAGCTGGTACACGATTATCAGTCATCTAGTGCAGATATATTCCAGTTCTCTTTTAGACACAGGAAACCTATTCTGTGGGGAGAATATACATATTTTCATCAGCAAGGGAAGACAAATAAGACTAACAGTCAGTCACTAATATTAAGAACTTGGCCCACTTAAGTCTGTCCTGTGTCACACTCATCGCATAGTGCTTGAGCAGCAGAAAGTAGGTTTCGAAGCCACATATTAGTTCAGGCTGATCCATGTTAGAGGCTTAGTTTGATCTCTAATTGGTTTGTGAAGATAGGGAGTATCATTATAGCTCTGAGAATCATCACATAGTCATACATCTGTATTCATTCAAGTCATAGCACTGCATCACGCCAGTTATTGATTCTGTTCCCCCTTTAGTCACTGTGTACTTCCTTTGAGAACTCAACACACTTTTCCCACGAACAACCACGTTATCGACCGTTGGTATTTGTCTGAACCGTTGACCGTGGTAGAATACTGAAAATCGGTGATTTTACTGTTTTCACATCCTAGTAAGACACCGCCCGTTCTGCAAACCTCCTGGCTGGTTTCGACCACTCTTCATCGTCACAATCTTGATCCCACTCCTTAGGCCATCTTACGGGAGGTTTGATTTCCTTGTCTGATTTACTCCACCACCCGTGGAACTCAAACATCATGTCTCGGCAGTGCTCCTGTTGGTCGTGCCAGAATTCCAACAACTCAGTGGCCTCTTGTCTGTTCATCTGAGATGGCTCCCAAAGTTTTCTTCCATCAGGAAGATACAGCGGTGTATGGTCCAGAAGGACAGGAAACCTGTCATCCCCTATCTTCAGGACATATGTCTTGTCTTTTCTGCTTTTTTTACCAGGGTATCGTCAGAGTCCACTTCCTTGTCTTTTCCATCCAACATCAGTTAGTGAAGTTTGATTGCTAAAATGTACTCCAAGAGTGCTCACCAAACTGTTTGGACATGTAAGACTTCCATTCTGGCACTATATCCTTCCAGTCATGAGTGTCGGTAAAACTCTCTCTGTTACCAATTTCTCCATTAAAGTTGTGGCTGTTGGTTGATGAGACTTGATATTGTCCAAAATCTGCTGAGTTCATGACTTACCTTGATACCATCAGTTTTCCTTCTTCCCCTTTCCAAGCTGACAGTATGAATAGCCGCATTCCTGCCTTTTTGAACATCTCGGCAGCAACATGTCACAGAATGTCCTCACTCTTTCGTCTCGCTGTATCCGCTTGAACATCGGGAGGAACTCCCTGTTTGTTCCACTCTACGGCCTGTTCGGTAGCTTCCTCCACCTCCACCTCAGTAAGAGACTTCACCATTTCCCCAAGATACTTAGAGTAATGCTTCATCATATCCTTTTCCCCAGCCTTTACACCAGTTTCATCCTCAATCTTCTTCAGAAGCTCCTTCTTCCAGAGAGTACCAACCACCATCTGGTATGTCCACTTTCTTCCGAGATTGATAGGAGCTTTTGCATCCTTCTTTTCACCATGGTTCTGTAATCATTTATGCTAGACCTGCATGCCGAACAAATATGAATAATTCAATTCCCCAAGTCAATTGAATCAGGCATGCACTCACAGTCTTTCTTGACCTCAGCTTGGCAGCATCCATCTTGGGTGTCTTCAACCGAGCCTCCATAGTGGCGTCCTTCCAGACCTTGTTTCTGTCTTTACCCAAAGCATTGTCCCATTTCTCCAGGTGGGACTCCAGAACAGCCACCTCCTCCCTATTCAGAGGCAGGTGCTTCTGAACTTCTTCTTCCGACTCCAAGTTGTTCCCTGACATGAATGAAATGAATAGCAAGATGGAAGGGAAGGAGAAGTGTCTGAGAAGAGGTTTAATTTAAACCAAAGTTGTTTCTTTAGTAATGGGTATTTTAGGGCATAGATAACTAATATCCATTACGCTGAAAATGTCCTGTTGCACAATCTGATGAATTATTGGCACTTCTGATCTTCAAGACATTTACCAACCAATTTGACTCATTTCACTAGCCAGTCAACTTCGGAATTCAGGTATAGAATCACACAGATTTTTGATTTTCTTCATCTTGCAGAGAAATTCCTTAAGCATCCCATGGGTCGGAATCGGATATTAAGTTACAGAAATCATGTAAGCGCCACCATTCATTTATCTCAAAGTTATGCCAGGACATCCTCATCGTGATTTGATTATTGTTGTATGAGAATGAGAAGGAACTTGTGGTACTGCAAACAGATTTGGAGTAGATGGTTGTGGTTGCTGTTGCTGGTATGCTCCAAGGCGTCCATATCAAGAATGGTATCCAAAACAATGATGGCCTTATGAGAGTGAGAAGGAACTTGCATGACCCAGAATGGATCAGGAGGAGATGACTGTGGTTGTCCCTGTTCTCCTAGAGGCCCTGGGTATTCCTTAGCAATTGAATTGAATGAATGTCACTCAATCCATCCAATGACTCTCTCGAATTGATCATCCTGATGACCCCTCAGCAATTCAATTAACTATAATCTTGTCTTTCCAAATTAATGTAAACCTTATGCATTTCAGTCTCAATTTAGCACAAAATATTATCATAAGAGCTAAGCTAGGGAATGTCACCTTTCTGTCACCATACCATCACCATCATCTCACAGACTCTGACATGGGCAGATCCAAGGCTATAGAGGTCACACCTCCTGGGACCATCCACCTTGTGAAATGGAGCCAGAAAAAAACTAGTCGAGGCATCAAAGGTCGGTGGGTGTCAGCTGAGCCTACAAAGATGAGCAAATCAGTTCATTCATTGCCAACCAAGTCTCCCACCAAGCAGCCTTCTGGTGGGTTGATGCATAGATTCTCTGAAGACTTTGAGACATGCTATGGCAACCAGGGCAGCATCAATTCCATGACACTTCCAAAGAGCAAGGAAAGTCAAATATTTACCTACATGAACATAACACTCACATCTGGGACCTATAGACTCCAAATGACTATCTCCGCCAGTGGAAATTTAGGGTGGAGGATTATCTGGATATGCTCCTGGAGTGAGAGGTGCCACCTCCAAATTGGGTGTGCTGCTTGTGCAATGGGGATGGAACATACAAGTGCCATAACTGTTTTGCCGAGCCAATATTCTGTACAAAGTGCTGCCGGACACAACATGCAAGGCTCCCTTTCCACCGGATGAGTCAATGGAATGAAGATTTCTTTGATAGAACTACACTCACTAAGCTAGGTGTAGAGATCCATCTTGGTCATGGAGGACAGCCTTTGCCCCAACCATAATTGGGAATGGGAGGATACAGATGACGAGGACCGGTATACTGCATCTTTAACTGCCGGAATGCTGAGTGTAGCGAAAGCAGCAGACGGACATGGTGATTGGCGATGCACAGAACCATATGCGACAGCAGAAGAGGATGTTTTTTTAGATTCAGAGCCTGCAGCTGCGTTCCCAGACTTGCCCGAGGTAAATGCAGCACAGATCGGCAGGACCACAATCACAATTGTTGACTCTTCGGGTGTTGACACATCATCTATTCAGTATTGTCAATACATGGGCGCCCAAACTCCAGACAAACAGCTGTTTCAAATTGGACTGTTTGCGGCATCATTCACCTGCCCGAAGACAGCATTTACTTTTGCTTTGTTAGACAATTTCATCTTGGACAATTTAGAGTGCAGTGTTAGTTATATGATTATTCACCTCTACAGTACGCATTTCTATGTCTTTTATGTGTCTAACCTTGCCATTTCACTTACGGTATCATTCCATACACTTTGCTACCTATTTACATGACTTCCTGATCTCCCTAGGACGTCCCTAGGTCGAGTTATTACTTACCCTTTGATTGTGGCTTGTCTGTTTACATTTGTTTACCATACGTCGCCCATATCCCAGAGTCCAGTGCTTACTGCCTCTTTGGCAACTTACTCTGGACTCTAGGTACAGTACAACTTCACTATACCATTTAATAGATCGGCAACTTACTCTGGACTCTAGTCTGATCTCTTCTGGTCTCTCAGTAGCCTCTAGAAGCGGCCCACTTCACTCCCATCTTAACACCTAGGCCCAATCCTCCACGCACACCACCCACGTAGTACATGCCATCCGGTTCCTCATTGAAAGGTAAATTGACATGGCCACTGATCAATGTCAATGCACCAGTGGCGGCACCTTCATTTTCCGTCAGTAGTAAGTTGGGATGTGGGTTCTCTGCAAGCTGTACAGCAGACAGCACATTCCTATATACAGTCCAAACTGATGACCGAGTCACTGCGGGGCGCCCCATTGCATCATAACAATGCTCGATAAAGTCGCCAAGCATAGGTGGGACAAGGTCAAATACTGGGTTGGAAGCATCAATATAGACGTTGCGAATGTAGTCGATGCCCTTGTGATCTATAGAAGCCTAGTTGGCATAGTCAAGTAAGCCTTTGTGTGCGGTCACTTGTGCAAACAAATACCTTGAAATCCAATGCTCCGAAATCTTCAGGACAATGGTAGATAAGAGTTGGGACGCCGTGTGGGATTAACTGTGGGTTTCTGTTAGAATGTCAAACTTGGATCCACATTATGCGCCCTGAAAATGGCTCGATTCCAGTGTGAAGACCGAGCCCAAATCTGAGCCATTTGTCGTGCTGGTCAACGGCAAAGAGATCGTTAACGCCAGCTGCCCAGAAGCGCTTTCATTTCAGTTTTCTGGCCTTACGTTGTCACACTAGTTCTGGTTCATACACAGCAAAGTAAGACATCATGACCAATCTATTATAGTCACGGTTGCGATGTCAGTTCTTGACAAACAAGTTCATCTAAGGGGGCTAGGATGAAGATCAAAATCAGGGAGTGGTATTGAAGCAAATGCACCACACTTATGTGTGGGTTTATGCTGGTTGGGCATGATAAGGGGTGCAGGACGGTATGGTCCCACTTTACGATGCTGTTATATTTATTATCTCCATAAAGTCACAGTAAAGCCTCCGCTTCAACTTTCAACTTGTGAAGTACGTTTATAGGTGTGATACTTACCTTGTTCGGACTCCTTGTTCTGACTTGCGCACTGGTTAAGGTCCTCGGATATCACTCAACTTGCAAGGTATGTCCATAGGTACTGTAAAAGACTTACCTTGTTCTGACTTCAAGTTGTGCAGTTAAGGTCCTTGCCGACTCCTCGGATCACATGCGCATTGCGCATCGCCTCTTTCATGCTGCACTTCCATGCCTTTCATTGGTGTTAGACCCTCTTTCAATCCTCCCATGCAGATCGCCCCATTGATGCCGCAAACAACCTCAGGCTTCACCACTCCGGCTTCACCACATGCTCACACTGAGGCTCTCACTTATTCTGAGTAACTGATGTCCAGTAGGTGTTCTCACTTGGCGCTCTAATGCTCTCATTTTGCTAACTAGGTATGGCCACAGAGGCTCTGACCGCTCTGGCGCTCTTACTCGTTCTGAGCAACTGACCATATTTAATCCTGCATTGAAATATATTGTGTCTCACCTTTATCGTGTCTGTCCTCATCTCACACCTTCAACATTCATGGCCTCTTACGAACTTGCGTCACAGTTCACTGAAGATGTGTTTGCCAAAGAAGATCTCATTTGTGAATGTTCTGCCTGTGCTGCAAAGATTTTGAAGGGAGATCCGTGTTTCTACATTGTGACAATTGTCATTGGCCAACGCGGGCGCTTTGTTTGCGCAACTTGTCACCGGCACTATCAAGGCAAAGCAGCAACATCAATAGGCCCACTGCTCAGCATCCGAACCGTCAAGTCAATGCTCAAGTTATCCGGCAAAATATCAATGCTGCATGGAGACCAGGTTTGATTGATTTCATACTCGCGTCCATTTTATGTTTACTGATGTGATCTCTCAGCGGTAGCTCAGCAGCCGCCACCACATGTAGTGGCTACTAGTGGCAGTAAGCACTGGACTCTGGGATATGGGCGACGTATGGTAAACAAATGTAAACAGACAAGCCACAATCAAAGGGTAAGTAATAACTCGACCTAGGGACGTCCTAGGGAGATCAGGAAGTCATGTAAATAGGTAGCAAAGTGTATGGAATGATACCGTAAGTGAAATGGCAAGGTTAGACACATAAAAGACATAGAAATGTGTACTGTAGAGGTGAATAATCATATAACTAACAGCTGTCCCTTCTAGCTGGGCTCAGCCTGGCTACTCAGTGAACCATGCACAATATGGTGCTGAACGAGAACACTGGGCTAAGGAAGCATATGCATTGACGGACCCAGACTCATCACACTTTCGCTGGATAACATCTTGCTGAAGATCCAAGCTTTTGCGACAGGCTTTCCATGGCGCCAGGACCAATTCATCATTCGAGATGGCGGATGGGTTGATTTATCAACCCATCCGCCACGTCAGCCTTATTTTTACTCCCAATGCATGCAGGCAACTCGCAAAGGCTTGCGCGCTATGACATTCAAGTCAAAACAATTTTTATTGTATGTCATTGTGCCCACGGCTCAATGGGATGACTATGAAACGTGGCTTGAAAAAGCTGAAGAGGTTTGTATTTTTCAATTATACGATGCTGGTACATACTTACCAAAAAATCTATACCCTTAGGAACGATTCAGCATGTGTTCACGATCCGAGCCACTCTTTCTACCTTCTGCAACAAGGAGCGTCCAATCAAGCGCGCTGGCTGTGGCTTCTGAGCCGCTCTTTCTACCTTCTATGACAAGGAGCGTCCATTCCAGCATCCATTCGAGTGCGCTGGCTGTGGCTATGTATGAGAGAAAGTGTATAGAGTCGTACAGTGCTGAAAGAGGCTAATAATAGTACAGTTGGGTATGAGTGATTGTAGTTGACCCCAGTTACAAGAATGTGTGATGTGAATCATCGATGACAGGTAAACTAAGAGGACTCTTAAGAAGAGCTGACCTGATGTCATACCTGTGGTAAGTGTGAGTATACAGTTGAGAATGGAAAGAGCACACATATGATGAAGGAATCCATGTGAACTCTGCTGTGCAGGTGAGGCGTTGCAGAGGAGATGATGGAGGGTCTGATGATGGAAGGTTGAGTTCGACACATTTATTGAGAGGAGCAATGTAGTGAATGGTCATAAGTGAATCTGGCATAGCAAAAAAACCTTGATGTTGTTCAAAGTTCAAGCAATCTTGATTGGGCACTGTTATCTTCACCAGCACGTCTGATAGTTTTATCACAGCTTCACCCAGTGATGGGTTGTTCTCCACCTGAAGAAAGTGCCACTAATGCATCACCAGCTGTAGACAGTCTCCAAACATCTCATTTGACATGTGTTCCATAGCTTTCCATATAGAAGGTAATAAATTGCAGAACACAGCATTGATAGGTCCTCCCTCATCATCTTCTATGTCGAGATCCATATTGACCATTTGGCTAAGCATAGCTTAATGATATGAGGGTAATCAAGCAAGCCTATCTTGATGTTGGTATACTGTGCCATGACATCGTGCAAGACCTGGGTGAAGTCAATATGGGACAATGGGATTCCACGACAAATGAAAGCAAAGTTATGGCTTTTGGGAGGTGGGGTTGGGATAATCTTAAGGAGTTCTTGCTTGAGCATACAAATCAGTTCAATAAGGTATATGACCAAATAAGTCAGGCAATAAGGCATGAAACAGGGAATGATATGAACTCCAGTAAAGGTGTCGGTGCTATGATAGAGTAGAGCGTGTGAGGGACGATGAGGGTGTTCGTGGCCTGGTAGGTTTCCAGCTCCAAAGCTTGGGCAGGTGGTACAGACAGTAAATGAGAAAGTGTGAAGACAAGCTCAGTCAGCTCTGCAAGTGTATCAAGCCATTTGTAGATAGATGCTGATAGGAGTCGGTGAGAATACTAGAGTGTGATGCAATGCAACACTGACTGAATCTGGGCTGTAGTCGTCCTGATTAAGCACAAACATAAAATCATTTAAATGCGACAGGGTTGTCAAATACATTGCTCCACAGCATATTGAGATGGTATCCAAAAGGGTTTTCTGGTGAAGTAAGAAATGAATACCCAAAGTCTGTGCAGCTGAGGTCGTCCTTGGGCCATTTGGTTGAGTCTGTAGAGTCAAATGACTCTCGTACAATACTGTCAAACTCTGACAAATCAAAGCCCTGGAGAATTTTAGACAACACATCTTCTGAATGCCTGAATAGCAAGTCTATCATCATCATCGTGGAGTTGATGGTGAGCTTGGAGCCTCGAACCACCAGTGCATTATTAGATGCATTCCATTGCACAAGTGATAGCAGTGCCCTAGAATACGAAAAAAGGGGTGATGATGCAGAACTATTCGAGCAGTAGCCATAATATATACCCAGTGCTATCAGTCAGATAGTAAAATAACACTTCATGGTATGCCCTGAAATATGACAGGCAACTAGTGAAGGAAAGGTCACAAGACACCTAAAAGGCATTAAATTGGGGAAGGCTGTATGTGAAATGCAGCAGGCTCTTTTTTTTTTGTATGAAGAGACTCGGAAGGGCCAACGATTATTTGGGGAGGGTGTTAGGATCTGTAAAGTTGTTCATAGATGCTTGGACTTATGTGATGCTGCAGTATTTCATTGTTGTCATCATAGATGGACAGTACATGATGGAGCACATGAACAAGTGATTCCTCGATAGAAAAAATTGATTGCATAGCTGTGGTATGTTGATTCGTAATGTTAATACTGTGGGTCGAGGATGCAGCTGTGACTGGCTGAGAAAGTGGTGGTGGTTCAATGCCTTTGAGGATGGGTGACAAAGAATGCATAGATGAGATAGAACTCTCAGAATTGAACGAGTGGGCGATTAGTGCCATTTCATGCCAATCCAGGTCATCAACGACATTGGTTAAGTTCAGTGACTGCTTGTCTGGAGCTTCATCTTCAACAGCTCCATCCTCACACATATCATCAAGCCACTCCATCTCTACTTATGCATCAAAGTGTTTGACTTCTATGAACTGGGCACTGGAATGCACTAGCGACCTGTCAGGGTGAGAAGTAGAGAACTCAGACTCGTCCTTGAAGTCAAATAATACATCAGACTCGGAGGGGTCATAACGGCTTTTTGGAGGTATATGTCACATATCGAGAGAATTTTGTGTTTGTGCTTCGTTAAGAGTGAGTTCTTAAAAAAATGTGGGGACAACCTTGAGAATCAGGGTCACTATCCAGACATTGAGGTGAGGGAGTTGTCTGTAGTGTTAATATGCATAGAAGTAACAATGTTTGATTCGGCCATTGAATGATTCGAGGTGTAGAGTCTGCCAGTCGAATTGGCACGCATTTTGGGGTATAGTTCCGAATGTAGTGGTGATGTGGGGTCATATGAGAAGTGGCCCCTGTGTCTGCATTCCAATCAACGTCAGCATCAAGCTGGAGAGGGCATAGAGGACTAGAGGTGTCAAAAGAGTGAAGACTTGCATTACCAGCAAACTCAGTCGCATTCTGGACAGTGGAGGACGTGTTTGCAGATGCAGGGACACTGGAGGATGCATTGGACGAGGCATTGGACCCAGGGGAGGGCTGGGACGTGGTAGAGGATGCCTCAGAGGCCTTGTTAGCGTTCCTAGACCTCCTGCCTGACTTGCCAGGCTGATTGGACGCCTGCCTAGTCTTGTGCGCCTCTCTGGCGCGCTGCATGGCAAAGCACTTGTGCACACAATGGCCTGCCTTCTCACAGAAGTCGCAGACAGCATTAGCACCGCACTTACAGCTACTAGGCGGCGCCCCAGCGGCAGAGACAAGGGCAGAATCGCTAGAGGACACTCCAAGGGCATCAGCACGTCGACGGCGCTGGGTTTCCTCAGCAAGGAAGGCGGCCTTGAGCTCCTTCTTGTCCAAGGACTTGAGGATCAGGCTAGATGTGAATTGGGCATAGTCTTCGCCCAAAGCACAGATCATGGCCATAGACACCAGCTCAGCATCAAGGTCAGAAAGACTGTAGGGCTTACTAGAGTCCTGAGGGTGCAGTCTTTGGATCTTGGCCATGCCCTCCTCAATCCTGGCAATAAGGGTGCTCAGGGACTCATCAGGGCACTTCCTGATGGTGAAGAAGTCGTCCCAGGCATTGAAACGCGTAGCAGGGAGTCTTACACAGCCTAGTCTGCTATACTTGCGAGACAAGTGTGTTTGACCTGAGGGGTTTGCTGTTTGGTATTAGAATAATTAGTTATATGAAATGGAAGATAGTCCAGACATGGGAAACAAAGTCCAAAGGGATAATTACAAGTCTGATGGCAAAGTGTCGGGTTAGTATCAGGAATTAGTGAATTCAGGGAAAATGAATGTCAGATTACTGTCAGATGTCCAGATGGCTAAGAACCCCCATTCAAAGGTCAAAAAGTCTGCAAGCACATTCTTCTAACTCAAGGAAAACTCCAATTGTAGAAAGAAATTACCAACAACCACAAGGAGATCAGATGGCTTAAGGATGCTGGCCAATCATCACAGGTATTTCATCCACAAAGGGGTGACATTGAGCTTTATCACGATCACCACAGGGAAGACACTCTTTTTCCCAGTGTGTATCCCCAATATGCACCACTTTGTTGCATTTCATATCGACTTTGAACAGAAAACCCTGTGCTATGGTAGGCCATTTTGCTGACTTGCAAGACAAAAACTCATTTGAAGACAGGTAACTCTCTGAATCTCCCAAGCACACTTGGATTCTTTATTTCAAAGCTACAACAATGGCTTTCCCTACATTTTGATGGCCTGTTTCAAAATCAAGGAAATACCTTGCTCCATGGGACTCAAAGAGACTCATGCTCCTGTGGCATTTTTGTGATAAACACCATTACTCACAACACCTTTGGCAATCCCCTCAGTATATCTGAGCCTGCATCCACATGAGCCAATTGGTTCAGGAAGATCACTCACAACCAGATCAATGTGGTGTCATAAAGTATCAATGTGCACCCGTCTCACCCGATAGTTGGTCTCTCTGCTTCAATATCATCAGACACATTACCTCTGGCTTAAAATGAAATGGAGGCACAGAAGAAGATACAGAGACAGGAGCTTATAAAATGATACAAGGAGAAAGCGATCTTATGAGCAGGAAACACTGCATGCCTTAAGGAAGAGAAGGAGCTCGAGCACTCACAGGAGCTTCAGAGGCAGCAGGAGCTTGAGTACCAACAGGAACTCCAATGCCAATAGGAACTTGAGAGGCAGCAGGAGCTTCAGAGGCAACAGGAGTTTCAGAGGCAATAGAAACTCCAATGCCAACAGGAACTCAAGAGGCAGTGGGAGCTTAAGTGTCAACAGGAGCTTCAGATGTAGCAGGAGCTTCAGAGGCAGCAGGAGCTCCAGCGCCAACAAAAGCTCCAAAGCCAACAGGAAAAACTTGAGCACCAACAGGAGCTCCAATGTTAAGAAGAGCTCCAGAGGCAACACCTCAAACAGAACTCATCGAAGATAGCCTTGGGCAGTTGAATGCAAGATATTGTCACTAACAACAACATGAACATAGATATCAAACCAAGGGAAGTAATTCTTGATTCAAATGCACTGTCTCAGCAGGCCACTCTTCACATCTGATATGAGCACCTCTGTTAAATATTCCTCCTTTGGCACCCTCGATTCTTGGAACTTTGTCGCTCCCAATGGGATTCCTGCAATTCCTGCCTTTTCTACTGTGACATCTATTGCAGGGTTCAATAGGATGGGACCCCTTTCTGTCCAGAGCACAATTACCCACTTTATCCTAGACCAAATGAACTACCTCACAGAATACAATGATCAGAATCCACTTTCCTTGTCATTATAAAGTGATTCTCAAAATTGCCTCCTCTACATCGCTTGTTACCCTTCATATCACCTCTTACATGTCATCTCTCATGGTAGGTTAGTGGTATCTAAGAAGACTAAAATCAGACTGTGTCTCTGGAGAGCACAATATCCAGATGTCCCACTATGATTTTTTGCGATTCACTGTCTCTCCCGCAGAATTGACTGGCCTGTATTGCCAGCCTCCACCACCTCATTGGCCCACTATGCCTATGTCAGAAGGGGGTCCTCTGAGAGTAGCATCAGATATTGGAGTTTGAGTGGAGAGTACACTAGCAGGTGCAGTAGATAGTATTGTACCTGATGGGATGTCAGTTGTTGATGAATGCACCTAGGAGGGTGGTGGAGTGGAGATATGGAAAATAAAGGTGGGATTTGTAGTATGATAATGCTGCAGCTGTCTTTTAGCTTCATGGGAGATTCTACAGGAACTGAGTGAGACTCTGCATTATCTTGTAAGAAGGTTATAGAGGCATGAGAAGAATGGGAAGTAGTGACTGTGATGTATCATCTGTGTGATCCAGTAGCAGGGATACTTAAGGGGGATCGAATAGTATGGGCCTGGTTCATGTGTGATAGCATGCACAACTACACCCACACTCCTCGTCCGGATTATGCCAGATATAATCCTGCTGACCTCAATGCCTGCAAATTGGCCAAGTACAATCAAGCAGATTTTATGGTGTATGGCACTCTATAGATGGCCCTCCCACTGCTATCAAATATTATTGTCACTCTTTAACCTAACCCAATGCCTTGTCCATACATGTAGCTCTTTGCTTCTCAAAGCTATCAGTTGTCAACATTTTGCTATCATTTTATATACTCTGATGCCTCTCTTTTACATGTCATTCCTTTCTGCAGATGTACATTTTTTGGAGCATTTCCAAATTTCATGAGCTTCATTGCATAAGTCACACCATTGCGTCAGATTTTATTCGATTTGGTATCAGCACATCTCTGTTTGTCAGACATGGTCAACTAGCACCTGAATACCAGCTTTCAGCAACACTTCTCGGGCCCAACCATTGACCTAATCATGCCGGACCTTCAGTATCACTCATGTGGGCCCATCTGTGAAGATTGATGCACTGCCATTGACCGTATGTTGACTTTTGGCAACACTATATCGGGCCCTGCCATATATACCAAGTTCGTCAACCCAGACTGTCAGTACCAATCAGCTAGGGCCTGTCCATGAGAATTGACGCCCTGTTGTTGACACCAGATTGGGCCCAATCGTCAATATCGACCTCGTCTCCCTGGACCTCAGGCATGCCTACTTGGGCCTGTCTGTGAATGTTAATATGAACCTGGACCTGTGGTATCATCCACTCGGGCCCATCGGTGAGGATTGATGCCCTGCCATTGATCCAAATGTCAACTTTTGGTAATGCCACATCAGGTCTAGCCATTGTGCCAAGTTCTTTAACCCGGACCTTCTGCATCACCCGCTCCGGCCCGTTGGTAAGAATGGAGGCCCTGCCATTGATCTGATGGCCCACCTTCAGCAACACTTCTCAGGCCCAACCATTGACATTGACCTCATCATTCCATACCTTCAGTGTAGCTCATGTGGGCCCATCCATGAGAATCAACACACTGTTATTGACCCAATCATCAACTTTCGGCAACATCGCATTGGGCCCAACCATCAATACCGACTTCATTACCCTGGACCTTGGGTATCATCTACTTGGGCCCGTCCGTGAATATCAACACCCTCTTGGTGGACTAATCAGGCCCAACCATTTCATAATCACACTGTCACTTGTCACTTATGGGCCCGGTCGTCAATGCTGAGACATCATGGGCCCACCTGTGTCTATCGGCCACCATTGGATCTGGGCCCAACTCGGATGGACCATCTCACTCGGAAGAATCTCAACTTCAGGTGTCCATATAACACGGAAGAAAGTTACTGAATAGGCTCATGATTCTTGATTGTGCTGAGGTGGCAAGGAATGTAAATGTTAAGTTTTGCTATTTGGCTGCTCTGACTTTGTTTAGACAGGGCACTTTACTTTAGACAATACCAGCAATAACAATACTTGCATGGAAGAGCTGTCATCTTTACTGGGTGCATGTGATGTAACTTTTCATCCAGTCGCTCACCAAATCCCATGTTTCCTGCATATCATCAACATATGCATGCAACATATCCTTCACAACTACCCAACAGCTGAGTTTACGCATGTGGGCGACAGTTGGGTGGTAGATGGCGCAACCATCCAGAAGGCAGAGTATGTCGCAGCCCTAAGAGCCAAAACTCTCGACCAGGCCAGAGATATTGTGTACACAATCTGTAAGTCAAACAAATGATGCAAGGGGTTTCAGGATATGATTGTTAGGGGGAACAAAAGAAATTGGTATAAGGACAACAAAGGCAATCCTAAGCCACTTTTGGTTGTCGAACTTCTGCTGGATGAAGCCACATGATGTGATTCAGCCTACATTATGCTGAACAGTTTATGAACCCTGCACAAGGTAAAGCTCCCCCAACTAACCATCTCATCATGGACTAATATTCGCCCAGCCTCTCGATAGGTTCCTCCAGCAATCTCTGCCAGCAAAAAAGCTGACTCCAATGCAATGGCATTTCCTGGAGGACCTCGAAGTAATTTTAGAAGTCAGTATTGCTGTGTTCAAGACTCGTGATGCATTTTACCATTTTATATTAGGTGCTGCACACTGCTCAGCAAGTTATGTCAAGCGAAAAGACTTCTGTACTGAGTCTTGTGGTTCCAGCCTTTGAAGAGTTAATCGAGCAGTGGAAGGTGATTGCAACATTCATTCCGCACTGTGCACCCCTTATCAAAATAGGCTTGACATGGGCTGACAAGTACGCATCAGGAAACCTACATTTCTGCTGATGTTCCTGTCCCCTACTGAACTGTCTGATATCAGACCTACAGGTAGTGCAGTCATGCAGCAATTGCTGAATTCAGCACCATGCCTAAAATCAGTGGTAAACAGCCCTACAGACACTCAGAGTGTCATATCCCGCGTTCCGGACCCGGACCTATCACACACATCATTTCCGGATGTCTGGATCTGGCTGACTTCTATCTAGCGTCCCTTATCCCTCGTTCCCGAACGTCCGCCGGAATTCC